AACATGAATTCGGCAATAATAAAACGGGGTAGCGCACGAGACCTAAAAGTGGATGGATGTGGAGACAAAGGATTTAGACAGGTTCAGGCCCTCTCAATGAGAGGTAATACCCTACTCCTGTTTGGGGATTTGAATCCGCCGAGTGTGTATTGATCTGACGATCAGGTTGTCTCATGCCCCCTAGAGGGCCTCCTGCCCACCTTATATAGGGTGGGGGGCAGGATTACAAGATAGAAACCTTAACCAATACGGTATCGGTTTCCTAAATCTACTTTACAATATTATCAAACCAGGACTTTAGGCTGTTCCGTAATATATAAGGAAACGTAATACCCGAGTCATGATTTATTACATATTCCATAGATATAAGTTATCCCCTATGACTAGTCGGATAACCATGCCATATGGGTATGGGGTACCCATAATATCCACACCTGATGAGTAGCAAAATGATTATCAATTATTGTGGCTTGTATTATTGTATTTACTTAACATAAACTACCTATATAGGCTCTAAGTTTCCTAGTATGAAAAGATACACTCTAATTTTGCTAGTCTGAAAAGACACTTTCTACAAATTTAATATGTCTAAAAAATGTATCTACGAGATAATTTTTCACATATTTTTAATCCGATTCAAAAAGCGCCCCTCAAATATGGTTTTTTTAGTATATATGGATTGCAAGCCACTATTAGATTTACTCACAAAAATAGAAAGCATATGGAAAATTGATTGTGCGGTGGTATCATGACACAAGGTAGTTCTTATATATGCAACTACAACACAAACATCATGTAGAAGCATTTTTCTATAACAGTAGGGGTGTGTGTGTGTGTGTGTGTGTGTGTGTGTGTGTGTGTGTGTCAGTGTGTGTGTGTGTGTGTGTGGTGTTGTGTTGTGTTGTGTTGTGTGTATAGTGTTCTATAGTCATTTCCAGTACTATCACATAGATATCTTTTCTTGCATCGTTGGTACAACCAGAGAGACAAAATGCCTAAATACTCTTTGTTTTCTAGTTTCCAAGGAGTGGAAGCATTTTATAATAACACTAGATTAATTGTGCTACTACTGTAATAAAAGATCATGATGAAACTGAGATAAATAATAATCATGTGTCTATCTTGGTATGACCAATACTTAAACTCAATACTTTTTTTTCCTAAAAAACCACTACCTTCTTTTGAACAGATAAAGAACACAATCTCGGTATTCACCGGACTAATTAACCATTTTATCCTCACATCATGGTTAATCTTCATGTGTTTTACATTATCCCTAATTTACCCATGGCATGTTGACCCACATACCATCGAGAGAATGAGGGACAAATAAGGGACATGGTAAACTTTTAAAGGCAAACAAAGATATATCCTTAGCTGCTTACTCAACATAAATCGACCCTCTAAACAATGCCTCTAGAGAGACAAAAATGTATCGAGAAAATGTCTGTACACATATAGAAAAAAATTAGAAATTGTCTAAAAAATGTCTACCACATAATTTTGCACATGTCTATAAAACCATCTCTACAATGTGTTCTATACTACAAATATTTAGGTGATTTCATAGTGTTTCTAGGGAGTGCCTCTACACTAGGGGCTTTTTTTTTCTTGAGACAATTAGATCTTCTTTACATAAACTTAAACTTGCGAAGGATTGTGTCAGTGGTAGCTAGGACTATGTGGTTAGCTCTAATGCTCTATCTCGTTACATCTTTCCTTATTCCATCTTATGTGTGTTAAAGAGTAGGGTTTCAACTTTTTCACACTGCCTAAAATAATAATAGAGGACATTGCATGACCATTGAGTCTCCCCAACACAATGTACAACAAGGTGTCATAAGTGATTTTGTGCAATGACTTTACAAATAAGACCATGGATTACTACACATAAAAAGAACAGATACTAGAAAGAAAGAAGACAAACAAATTGATGAGTCCTTATCAATACTCCACGGGGATGGTGGATTCTATCTGAACCCAAGTCACACAAGTACTAACCATACACCATGTATGGCTATGTGGCTCATGTCATTGGTCAGCTTGTCAACAGGGTTCCAGTTCCATCCGACAGACGAGGAATCGATTGTTAATTACCTAAGAGGAATGGCACGGGGTTGTCATTCCTCATACACATCACCACCAATATTGACATTTACAACTTTGACCCATGGGAGATTCCTTAGGCTTTCAGTTCCACCCAAGAAATGAGGAATAAGGAATTGGCTGTCATTCCTCATACACATCATCACCGATATTGACATTTACAAATTTGACCCACGGGAGGTTCCTCAGGCTTTCGGTTCCACCCAACAGACGAGGAATTGCTTATCTCAATTACCTAAGAGGAGTGACACCGGTTTGTCATCCCTTGTACACATCATCACCAATATTGACATTTACAAATTTGACCCATGGGAGATTCCTCAGGCTTTCGGTTCCATCTAACAGACTAGGAATTGCTAGTCAATTACTCCAGTAACAAGAGTGACACAGGTTTGTCATCCCTCATACACATTATCACCAATATTGACATTTACAACTTTGATCCATGGGAGATTCCTCAGGGTTTCAATTCCACCTGACAGACGAGGAATTGGTTTTCAATTACCTAAGATGAGCGACATAGGGTTGTCATTCCTCATACACATCATCTCCGATATTGACATTTTACAACTTTGATCCATGGGAGATTCCTCAGGGTTCCAATTCCACCCGACAGACGAGGAATTGGTTTTCAATTACCTAAGAGGAGTGACATGGGGTTGCCATTCCCTCATAAACATCATCACCGATATTGACATTTACAAATTTAACCAATGGAAGATTCCTCGGGCTTTCGGTTCCACCCAACAGACGAGGAATTGCTTGTCAATTACCTAACAAGAGTGAAATAGGGTTGTCATCCCTTATACATACCATCACCAATATTGACATTTACAACTTTGATCCATGGGAGATTCCTCAGGGTTTCAATTCCACACGACGGACGAGGAGTTGGTTGTCTCCCAAAATGTATCGAGAAAATGCCTTTACACATAGAAATATTAGATAATGTCTCCCAAAATGTCTTTGCCACACAATTTTGCACATATTTCTAAAATCACCTCAAGCCATATCTAAAATGTCCCTATGCTACAAATATTAAGGTGATCTTTATCATGTTTCTAGGCGAGGAGTGTAGATTATGAGACTTCTTTTAGACCATTTGAAATTGTCTCAGCATGGAGAGTTGCCCTTTTTGTGTGTTTCCTTGTGTGTTTGTCCTACCAAAGCTCACATTTCTTGGTGGCACACTGTGGCACACTTAACATTGTAGCACACATGCACACCTTTTTGCCACCCCTTGAATAGGCCACTACTTGACAGCCTCATTGGTTGGCTGTTGCTAAGGCTGATTTTCAGCAACAGCCCATCGGTTGGCTCCTTAGACTATAGCATCAGATGATAGAAAAACTTATGCTGATAAGCATCAGCCTAGTTGTGCTGATATACAACAGCATATGCCAACCGATGGTGGCCTGAATAGGCCACTATAAAAGACCATCCATCCTTGACCACCATCACACTAAAGGAACTCAACAATAGTGAGGATTCTATCATATTCTCACTTATGGTGATGTGGCTCATTTTCTTGGCCAGCTTGCCAATGGATTTCTAGTTTCATCCGACAGATATCGTCGATGTTGCCAAAAGATTGCTGATCACGACGGGAGTGTTGTCATCTCATTAACATCATCATCGATATTGACATATACAACTTTGACCCACGTTTTTTATTGAATATCCATGTTTTGGTCATACATACTTTATTATTGACTGGACAGATCCACCGGTTGTTGACCTTGAACCACTGGCAATGGAAAATTCTATTATTGATGACATTAATGTTGTCTTTATCAATGAGGCAACGACCAAGGCTATCCTAATGAGGATGATGTTAGCCACAAAATTGATACAAAAATTCTAAACAATAAACAACATGTGTAACCAAGAGATTGATGCTCATGGATCGTAGCTTCATTTGCGGCCAGAATCAACACCGAGCATCAGGAGTGAATTGGTGGATGGTTTTCATTTCCTTTAAAAATTAAAAATAATTTATTCATCGTAGAGAGGATGGCCAAAGGCTTTTCACTCTCTTTTTGTTTGTGGAGTGGCATAACAAACTAAGTTGGGTTAACCAGTATAGCTTAATCGATAAAACCATAATAAATCAGTTTTAAGTTTGTGGTTTCCTTGTTTGCATTTATTATAAGGCTATCAATTTGTACTTATGTGCATGTAGTTTATGTGTATGTAGTATACCGCACAAACTCAGAAGATAAATCAAAATTCAACATGTAAACAAAGTTGGAGAACAAAGGAGGTGATGCTTGAATTTATGTAAAGAACACGGCCGTGTTCTTTTCTCCAACAAAAGTTGGATTAAATTTTGGATACTCGGGGCACATTTTTCAAACTGCTAAACGGTGTGTTTAGTGCGAAAGTTTTCTATATAAAAGTTGTTCTAAAATATTATATTAATCTATTTTTAAAGTTTGGAATAATTAAAACTCAATTAATCACAGGTTATTATAACCTCGTTTTGCGTGAAACACTTAATCTTCGTCTTCAGGACATTCAAACACCACCTAAATATAGAGTTTGGGTAATAAACAGAATCTTGTGTGAAAAAAAATGTGTAAAGAAACACTTTCAAAGGAGTTTGTGCGAAAAGGAAAAAAAGAAAACCCATTCCCTTCTCACGCAAGAAATAGCTACAGTACCATCACCACTAGGCTGCTACTGCTAGTGCTAGCCAGCGTCGTCCTCCTACTACTCGTGAGGCGAGAGGGCACGTGACGCGGTGGGGCCCACCTGCCAGCCAACCCAGCAGCAGCAGCAGCAGCAGCAGCAGATGGCAGCGACCGTCACGACGACCGCGCATTGAATGCGGGAGGGAGACGCGTCTACTCTTTCCGTTTCGCCCCCTCCTCCCCCCTCCCCCCCCCCCCCCCCTTCGCTTTCCTTTCCTTTCCTTTCCCTTCTCTGCCACTTTCCCCTTGGCGCCTACTCCACCACCGTTTCTCCGCCTCCTTGTCCCACTCACGCGGAGAGGAGAGGAGAAAGCCACGCGACTCGAGGCGACCGTACGGCGGCCGCGACGAGGAGGAGGAGGAGCAAGCCACGCCGAGATTTTGGTGGGGAGGGAAGAGGAGGCGGGCCTCCAATTTCGCCTCCGATTCTGTCTCCGATCGCCGGTCGCGGGAGGAGCGGCGGCGGGGGGAGGGCGGAGAGGTTTGGGGTGGTGGTGGTGATGGAGCCGTACGCGGCGGCGGAGGGGGGAGGAGGAGGAGGAGGTGGAGGCAGCACCGACACCGGGCTCGAAGGTACGGAAGCGGAATTCCCGACCAAACCCCGTGCCCTTGCGGTTTTGGTTGGGGTTTGGGTTTGGGGGGGTGCTAGGGTTTTGGATCTTCGTGTGCTCGAGCTCGAATGTGTGCGGCGTTGTGAGGTTTTTGTGCTTGTTTGCTGCAGAGTCGATGTGGAGGATGGGGCTGGGCGGCGGCGGGGGTGGCGGAGGGGAGGCGGTGGCGGCAGGGAGGCTGCCGGAGCGGCCGGGGGAGGCGGACTGCGTCTACTACCTCCGCACGGGGGCTTGCGGCTACGGGGAGAACTGCCGCTACAACCACCCGCGCGATCGCGCCGCCGCAGCAGTGGTGAGCACCAATTCCCCCTCTCGCTGCTCTACTCCTCTTTTTTTTTTTTTCACCTCCTGACTTTAGCTACGGTGACAATGACCGCCCTATTGGATTACGTCCGGTTGATTTTGAGGTGGGGGGCTTCAAGCTGAAACCTCTCGCCGAGAATTAATTCTACTTATGGCCTGTGGGATCTTATCTTGTGAGCATAGAAGTGAAAGTTGATTGCGCCTTTGCTGGTAGCGATGGTTTGCTTGATTAGTTTGGTGTCTCGGTCTTATGGTTGATGTGGACAATTCTGAGCTCCACATGCAGGCCTAGCCACTTGTCTGGTCCTTTTTTTTTCTGTTGGCAAACGCTTCCCCTTTTCTTTTTTAATCTATGTTTTGCTTATGGATCAAGTAGATGGACCATGTGCTTTGAACTGGTGGTAAAGATTAGAGCCTTAGGTAGAGTGTAATGATTGTGAATTCATGACAATGGATTGAAATCGAGGTATTTTATCCTGCTTTTGATTTAAACATTCATATTGTTATTTGTTTATTAGTTAAATGGAGGTGGGAAGACCACACATTCGGCAGAGTATCCAGAACGGCCGGGGCAACCAGTTTGTGAGGTAATTTATCTGATTCTCATTTTGTGCAAGCTCTCACTCATATGATCATATCAAACCCAAAAAAATGTGCCTATAGAAGTGGGCAACCTATTTAGGCTACAGATGATTTTTTTTTTTGTGTGTGTCATGTGCTGGATACTCTTCGGGTTAACATTTTGTGATAAAAAATGCAGTACTATATGAAGAATGGAACTTGTAAGTTTGGCTCTAATTGCAAGTATGATCACCCAAGGGAAGGCTCTGTGCAAGCAGTCATGTTAAATTCCAGTGGATACCCTCTACGCTCAGTGAGATAATTCATTCGATCAATTCTTATTAAAGTAGTGGCCTGCCTTTTTCATTTTCTGATGAAATTTCTTATGTGCAGGGTGAGAAAGATTGTACCTACTATGTCAAAACTGGCCATTGCAAATTTGGATCTACATGTAAATTCCATCACCCAGAAATTGGTGGAGTTTCAGAGACACCTAACATGTATCCACCAGTTCAGCCTCAGCCTATCTCTTCCTCTCATCCATATCAACATCTTGCTGGCTGGCAAATGGGGAGGCCTCCTGTTTTGCCAGGATCATTTTTATCAGGCTCATATCCACCAATGATGCTTCCGTCCACAGTCGTACCAATGCAGGGATGGAACCCTTACATTGTAAGTTTGTCATCATTTTCTTCTTTGTACCACATGTAGTGGATCATCGAGCAAGGGTGTTATTATTATCTCTACTACTTTAAAAGCACAATCGTTTACCTTTCCTTCCCTATCCCACCCTCCACATAAAAAAAACGTACCATTCCCTATAAAACCGCTTCCATCCCCACCTATAAAAAAACGTTGTAGAAAAGGACCGAGAAAAAACAGGGCCACCTATGTTACGATCAAACTAAACCATGTTTCTTAGATCCCATTGCGACACAGGGGGCATATGACTAGTAAATTATTAAATAGATCTTCTAATCTAGTACAAACTATCTAGAAAGAAATTTATTTTTTCTTATTAAGGATGTACTTTGAACATTTATAGTCATCACAATAAAATAAGAGAATTGGCTGGTAAGAGAATTGGCTACAGAGTGACCCAGAAAATTTAACGTGATTCATACTTTGTTGTAAGAACAATTCAGGATGACTTCTTAATTTTGTGCTACAAATAATGCTGATGTAAGTGTCAGAAAAAGAAAAAAAAAAGCTGTATTGACCTCTTTACTATGTTTTATGTTCTTAGTCACCTGTGAACCAAGTTGCGTCAGCTGGGGGGCATCAAACTGTTCAAGCAGGGCCGTTTTATGGCTTATCGCACCAAGGGCCTTCTGCTGCAGTCACTTATGGCAGTCAGTATGCACCGTTATCTTCTTCAACCATGCCTTCAAGTAGCAGTAAACAAGAACCTGCCTTTCCTGCGCGACCTGGGCAACCTGAATGCCAGTATTATCTGAAGACAGGGAGTTGTAAATTTGGATCTGCATGCAAATATCATCATCCTCAGTATTTGAATACACCTAAGTCTAACTGTATGCTGAGTCCTCTTGGTCTTCCTCTTCGGCCGGTGAGTAGCTCCAACACATATCTGCTTTTATATGCTTAAACTATGTGTAGCACGCTGTTGCCAGGATAGTCAGTCCAAATGTATATCGCTTGAGTCTGGATTAGTATTTGATATGTTGTCCCAGATAAGTTTGCCATATAGTTTATTGTATTGAGAGAACCAAATTGACGGGTGAGTTTTGGTGTACACATGTAGGCTGTGGTTGTTCCAGCCGGTTCCCAACAGGAACAGTACGCACGGAAAACAGACCGGTCCATTAGCGCGTGATTAATTAAGTAAAATGGATCAATATGATTTTTTAAGCAACTTTCGTATAGAAACTTTTTGCAAAAAACACACCGTTTAGCAGTTTGAAGAGCGTGTGTGCGGAAAACAAGAGGGGAGAGTTGGGAAAATAGAGTGCCGAACACACCCGTAGTTTAGTCTAGTTGCCTATTCATGGAAGCCTAGAAACTTTGGAGATTCTTATGCCAAAACTACAACTGTTGCATCTAGTAAAGTTCTGCCATAGAAGAACCTACGTTGTTGTATGTTTCCTTTTTTTTGGCTGAAACAGTGATGAAGCCAAGCCACCTTCACATTTTTAAAAAACTGTTCATTTACTGCATTAGCTTTTATTTACTGATCCTGTGTGACTTACTTGGCTCTGCTTGAAATTCAATGTCAACTGTAAATTGCATTTGAGTTGAATGTTTTACAGTTTCCCCGCATCGACACATAAATAATTAATAATGTTAGGTGGCAGGAACTCCTGAACAGTACCAAATGCAAATGTGATCCATTGCGTTCTTTTAAATCATTCCGGGTTGCAATTTAAAGTATACTGTTAAAAAGTAGTGATATATTAGTTGTTAATGGAATATATAATTCTCTCATGTTTTTGTATTTAACGATGTTTAAATGGCATTATCTTTGTTGGGCAACGCCCTTTTGTTCCTTTTGATGTTTATTGGAGTCAATGTTTTGAAAAGTGGTGTGCGGTTTCGTGCTGTCAACCCACTTTGTAGCGCTTATGCAGCATAATCGGATGCTTATGCGGCTTAAGCGGTGCAAGGTTGGGGCACCGGTTCCATGAAGTCGGCCTTGTACGTGGCTTTGTAGACCTTTTTTAAAAAACATTATTTGGAGTCAATCTCCTAATATGTGTTCTGTTCTCTTGTTTCTTTTCAAAATGAAATACCCTTGATTACTCACAGTTTAATATTTTGTACCAATTTATGAGTGCTTGCTTGTTTGCTTGCACATTTATGTCCTCTACTGCAGGCTGAAAAATGGTAGTAGCTAGTATGAGACAAATGGTAGAACTTGAAAAATGTAGGATTTTCTGTTATGTGGTACTCTACATATTTGCCTTTATGTATCTATTATTGCTAAGGAAATAAACTTTTTATAGAACACAGAAGATAAAATTCTTTTCTGCATGGCATCACAGTCTCAGAGAAGGGCAGAAGACTGGAAGTTATTAATAATCTGACCAACAGTTGATGCCCCCCTTTGTTGTGACAGCATATTGTGCTGTCAGTAGCTAGTAAATTTCATTTAGTTCTATGTTCAACCTTGCAATGGTTGCAGTGGTATCTTTCTTTTTTCCTTTTTTTTTTTGCGATTTGCGATATATTTTCCTGGAACTACCTGTAGCATTTTGTTGTCTCTTTAAGCGATGACAGTCGAAATAGAATCTAGTGTGACTGAGTTCCTTCTGATAAAAATATGGACATTAATACCATGTCTTACGAACACAAGCTATTCTTGTATATGGATGATACATTACACTTCTATTTGTTTCTGTTTGCACTTGTTCAATTATTCATATGAAGTTTTCCTTGATTTGCAGGGTAGCCAACCATGTGCTTACTATACACAGCATGGATTTTGCAAATTTGGTCCGACTTGCAAGTTTGATCACCCAATGGGTACTCTAAGCTATAGCCCTTCAGCGTCATCGATTACTGATTTGCCTATTGCTCCCTATCCCCTCAATTACGCTGTTGCTCCTGTGGCTCCACCTTCATCTTCTTCTGATTTGCGGCCAGAATACCTTCTAACCAAAGAGTTTTCAGCCAACCAGTCAGCGTCACCTGGTACTACATGCGGACCTGCTGGAGCAATGTTAAAAGCGTACGCTCCACACATGCTTATCCGACCTCAAACTTCTGGAGCTGGTGGCATGGTTACAACTCATGGTGGAGAGCTCTAACCACCTTCAGCAAGCTTCTCGGGACTTTTTTGGCATATGGTGAATGAGATCTCGTCTCCTTTTTTTGCGTCAGTTCGACTTACCCTCTCAGCATCAGTTCACTTGGACCCCCACTCATTGTGAATAAGGCTTCAACTGACTTTGACAAAGGCATGGCCAAGGTGGTAATCTTGCCACCTGAATAAATTCATCATAGATAGATAGGCAGTGGCAAGCTCATTCACTTGCCGTTTATCTCTTCATGTCTGAAATGGAACAGGGGTCATTCTGAAGTCCAGTTAACTGTTTGACTGTCATTGCACTATGATTCAGAGCTTCGAATCCATCTCCTCGGTACATAATTTTATCGGCGGAGCAGGCCGTTGAGTGTGCACCACTGCAGAGAGTTTCATGTCAGAAAGTTATTTGGTTTGGTCGCTCTTGCCCAAATCTCTGTTTATTTTTAATCATCATATATATATGCAATCTCGAGTTCAGCTATATGCATATTCATATATATACTGGGATCAAGAAACTGTAATCACACACTTGGAAACCCTCATCTGAATCGCCCCAAGCTAACTTGCTGCATCATCATTTTGCTCATTTAGTCGATTGCATCCGACTTATGTTTGAACCCTGCAATACCTGTCCTGTCATTAGCTTATTCTGATTGTATATGCTCATCTTTCTTTGGTCCGAGTTTGGATGTTTGCTGCTTTCGATATAGATGGTCCATGAAAGGAGACTTTAATGGGCTGTTTGGTTAGAGAAATCAAATCATCTATTAGGATGGTGTGGTCCATTATGAAATCCTCCCTTCCTCGTCTGATAGCTTAGCATGGGCCTTTGAGAAATGAGTTTATGGACAAACTTATTCCATACCTCAAACCAAACTAGTGGTGAATTCATAGCCCTACTCGTCAAACCAAACATGCCCCTAGTTTATGGGTTTCTTTCCAACGTATCTTTGAAACTATTCGACAAGCCATTCGAGATCGAGCTGATCCGGATTATATTCGTTCAAAGTATCACTCAGAATGCGCATAAATGCATCCATCTATGCATGCTTGGTGCAGATGTCATGTCAATTGACAAGAGCAGATCTAGGAGGCTACAGCTACTAATAACACTGAATTGACTTGAAAGTTGACGCATATATGCTTGGGCCTTGTTTAGATCCTAAATTTCTTTTGCTAAAAACGTTACATCCAATGTTGGATATATACATGGGGCCTTAAATGTGAAAAAATCAATTGCACAGTTTACATGTAAATTGCGAGACAAATCTTTTGAGCCTAAATTACGCCATGATTTGACAATGTGATGTTACAGTAAATATATTTACTAATAACGGATTAATTAGGTTTAATAAATTCGTCTCGCAGTTTATATGCGGAATCTGTAATCTATAATTTGTTTTATTATTAGTCTAAACACACGGTGAGACGTAGAATGGTATGCACGAAATGCATGCATTGCCATGGCAAGAGTTGTGCCCCATGAAGCTTGGTAAAACTGAAGTTGATGCGCACATGATATAGCGACGCGCACCGGATCGATTCACCGGCTAACCATCCTATATATATATATATATCAGCAGGTTCGATATTTATTCCCTACACATATACGTTCCATCGCAGTCGATTTCCAGGAAGAGCAATCGGTTAACCATCCTAGATTGGAGGTATATTATTAGCACGTACGTTTCACAATTATAGACTACAGGAGATTAGCACGAATCCATGATAGGATCGAAGTTCAGTCTTAACTTGTGTGCGCCTTTTGCCTTGCCCGTTAGTGGCTAGAGTAACATGTGTTGAGTGGAAGCGGTGGTATCTTAATGTCGGTATTTAAGGTGGTAGTATAAATAAATATGATTCATTAAGTTATTAAATAAGAAAATATTAAGGACTCTTTTATAGTCCTCTCTTTATCCTATAATATAAGGCGTGCATATATTGTAAGATTCATCTTTGAAAATATTTAACCAATAATTAGTGCAATATAAATCGAATATTATTTTCTAAAAATAATATCTTTGTATTGACATTTGAATATACTTTCGTATGGTTATAATTTTGTTGCTACAAAATTTATAGTATGTGAGAAGTTATGAGCTAAAGTTTAGTTAGTTTTGGAGACCGTATCGAGTTTGATCATATCTTACATTATATATTATTATATAATGGGATGGAAGGAGTAATTACAAAATTGGATCATTTGTAGGATAGTTGAGGCCATCCTAAAGTAGCACACATGCGTGGTCTTTTTCAGGTGACGTATCAGGCTATCAGATGTGCGTTGTAAGGGCAGTGTGGTGTATGTTTATGGTGGTTTACGTGCGTGTACGTTTTACACGTAGTCTTTTAAAATTCTTTGTTGAATTTATTTAAGAAAATATATGTTGTATATCAAGAAAAAAGAGATTGTTTATGAGTTATAATATTACCTTGACCTACCAAGTAAGTCCTTGGATAAATTGAGTACTACCCCTGTCCAGAAAGATCGCAGTTTTACACTATTTATGTTCAATGTTTGACTATATGTTTTATTTTTTTAAAAAAATATGATTAGTATTTTTGTTGTTATTAGATGATAAAACATAAATACTACTTTATGTGTGACTATTTTTTAAAAAAAATCATATTTTTTTCACATAAAACAGATGATCAAACATTGGACAAGAAAACCCACAAGTGCATTTAAAATGAGAATGTGGTAGTAACTAAATGAGGATCAATTTATGTCTTATGTATGGTGTTTTATTGGCCTCGATATGGCTTGCATACAACTTAATTATGAGTGTACATTTTTACCTTTTTTTTGTCAAGTACTTCCTTTGTTTCATATTATAAATTGTTTGACTTTTTTCTTAGTTAATGTTATTTATATTTAGTTAAGTTTATAAAAAAAACAACATCTACAACACCAAATTAGTTTCATTAAATCTGGCATGAATATATTTTCATATGTTTGTTTTTTTATTAAAAATGTTAGTATATATTTTTTATAAACTTGGTTAAAAATTTGACAAAAAAAAATCAAATAACTTATAATATGAAACGGAGGGAACGGAGGGAGTAATATATATTTCATCGATGACTTAGTTCATCTCTGCCGTTCTTCTATAACTTTTTTTAATGAAAATTTAACCCAAGTCAAACTAAAAAAATTCCCTGTCTTCTCCAATAATATGAATCCAATAAAGCGAGTGAAAACCATGGCAATATATATTTTTCTGCCACAGGCCGTTGATCGTCAAAACGAAATGTGAAACGTGGAGAGAAGCCAAGTTTTGAACAAAATGTCACATCAGCCTTGTTAATTGATGATTCGTTTGAGAGGCATCAGCAGTATAGTTAATTAATAAGTTAATCTTTGTAGTAACTTGTAGAGACTTGTCCTAGTCAGACTACTAATCAGATCGAATATAATAGCCTGAGTTTGTACATTGTTAGGCAACTAAAAACTTGTACTTTAACTAGCAAAATAAGATCGATGACTCGATCTCATATATTCTGAACTGAAAAGGGGAGAATATCAATCACATAAAAGATATATGATTCGATCGATCGACGACTAGCTAGCTCCATCAACATGCCCATGCAGGAACATATCAATTATATACGTATGAACGATGAACTAGCGCACGTGTTTAATTCATCAAATAGTTAGGCACGAGCTCAGCCCTGCTAATTGCATGCTAGCTAGCCGCTAGATTTTCAATTATTTGCATGGTTAATCATTCGATATCGATGGATGTACATCACACTAGCTACCACATACTCCTACATGAAGAGGACGTACGCTTTAATTCTTTATAACACTACTACAGAAAACGAAATCAGTGCCGGACCTCTGAGTAAAAAAAAGGTTCGGCTCGAAGCATCGGCTCTAGCGTCCCCCAAAAATTCACATGCACTTAAAAGATATGATTCTAATGATAAATCTCGTTAAATTTCTGTTAGAAATCATATATACACTGCACATGCATGTTGCATTTCTACTAAACGCAACTTTTTATGTGCGTAACTTTAAACGCTAGGATTTAAACCTGGTAAGTGAAGTCATATATGCACTAGGGGTGAAAACGGTACAGAAACGGACGGAAGCTATCTTTATCATTTTCGTTTTCATACTTTTTTTTCGGAATCGAAAATCCCGGATAAAAAACGGAATAGAATATTATCGAAACCGAAAACGGAGTGAATATGGTAACGGAAATTTATCGGAATACAAGAACCCCTCAAACTGATAAATCCAATTCTCAAGTCTCAACGGTCAACAATTCGTATGTAACTTTAGATTTGCATAACAAATATTTTTTTTAAAAAATAAAGGCCAAACACTATGGTATTCACTATTCAGTGCTAAAAAAAGAATCCAGGGTATTTCAGTCACAAAATTTCCGGAAATTCCGAAAAAAATTCCGGAAAGTTTCCGACCGATTCCGAGTTCCGACGGAAACTGCCCTTATCATTTTCGATCCCGTTTCCGAGAAAATATTTCCGAATTCGTTTTCATTCCAAAAAAATTCCGAAAAAATTTTGACCGACAGATTCCGTTTCCGAAAATAGGTCCGGAATCCGGAAAGTTTCCGTACCGTTTTCACCCATAATATGCACGCCCAACTCGCCACCACACTAAATTAAAGTACCGTGTTTTTCCACTGAATGCACATAGTTTGCTACAGTTTCATATAATATAGTGAGAATATTTGTGGACACATGCAGCTGCATGCATGCATATACGATCGACCGAATACGATTCCCCGTCTAGAATTTCTCCATCTCAATCCACAGTCTACAAGAGTGTACGTACTGGCGACAGCTCATGAACGAAAGGTGCCATTCACAAATTAGAAAGTTGGTGATGACCTTAACCAAAAGACATGCGTATATATATCCAATTGGTAATATATATAAGTCGTTTTGAGCAAGCTCATGATCAAAATTTTCTGGTATAGGTTATTCTTCTACCACTTAGGGCCACACGTTTATCTCATTTCCTTCGTCGATCATGTCGTACCATTGCTATTAGCTTGTCAAATGAGTGATGACCATATATTCTCGTGGATAAATGATGCATGTCTCTCTCATGATTAATCCCTTCATTCTCCACACATATTCCTTCATATCATTCTTTGTGAGCAAAATGTGCAGTTTTTGTTGAATTGGCTAGAAGAGGTAGAGATCGAGCTAGGTTTCTTAATTATCAGTTGTTCGATTGCTTTGGTTGTAGTCGTAGCTTTGTACAAAACTGTTTCTATTTCTCACTAATTTCTAATTTCAGGTGCCTGGTTATATGAAATAAACTTATAACTCATAAAAAAAATGCAAACTTACATGCGAAACAATAAATAAAAATAAAGTAAAACAATATATAACAACAACATTACAGTTCAAATAACTAAAATTGCATATTGTATAGCACTGCAATTGTAGCAGTGTACAATTTCAATTACTCAAAATTTATAAATTTTCAGGCATCTGAAAATTAATCTAGCAAATCACAAACTATAAACATTGGCCATTAACAAATAAACAAAAATAAACATATCCATAGATTTGTCAAGAAAACATTTCGATCATATACACCATGATATATATTGTAGGTGCTAGTTATCCAACAATATTATGATTTTAAGCATTGCGATAATTTTAAAAAGCTGGTGATTATGTTTATTTAACTTAGAACTTGTGGTATATTTATGTGTGATTTGTCACAACACGGAACCACTGTACTGAGGATTTTAAAACAGTACTATGTTCGGCCGGTACCTTTTGCACAAACAAGCAGTGGCGCCCGAAAGCATATATATGATGGATGTTTAGGTTAAGTCATTGGAACCTTTCTATTGATTAATCGGTTGATTGAGGAGCAAGATTAACGCCAACTTTTAGCATATATATATCGGCCAGACAAATTTGAAAAGTAAACTTTTAACTCTGAAAAACATTTCTTAATTATGGGGCGTTCATTTTTCTGCCGTACAACACAACCAAAACAGGCCTCGATTAAACAAATGTGTGCCAAATTTTAGGGACAGACGTGCACCAATATTATCACAAAGGGAACGAACACAATAACCAAATTAATGCGCCATTGCGTGCGCACTATGGGAATAATTTTGTTACATATATATATAAATAGATGTGGTATTCTAAGATAAACCAAAATCTTTTTAAATTTTCTGCAGAAGATGCTAGCTTGAGCTTGTCAATCAATATAGCTAGAGCTATAAAAATTAAAGAAAAAAATTATGTCCTGCCGTACACAAAATATATACTTGACAATGAGCTAGGAGAATCGGTTTTGTTCCTGATAAAAGGTGATCTTAGCTCTGTCGATCGGCCAGAATTCACTTTCACTAGAAAAAAAAAATTGTTCGAAAAGAGATGGGCATGCACGTACAGCTGAAATTCTCTTGTGTGATGGCTAAGTAAAGTAGTAAACTATGGGAAGTGAATCATATTCCCTTCTTTGATAAATAGACCCCTTTTGTTTTCGAGAAAAGAAAGTAGGTAGGATTCCTCGCACAGCATCACAAGTTATTTTCGTTACCATATGAAAATTCTTATCTATCTATATATCAATCCATTGTGAAATCAATTAGCTTTATGGGATATATAACACTAATTTATCATTGTGGTCCAAGTAAGATGCATGGATATTAGGATTTAACCGATTAATCATGCATTTTATATACACAACCCATATGGTTTTTATCTCTCTTTTTCTACGCGTCATGGTCACACGATAACATGTGTTGATAATCGAGAACCCTTGATGTCATGCATGCATGTATATATTTCAATCGACTTTGGTTTGTCCCAAAAATTAGAGAATAAATACTAGTTTATTTTTCTTCTTTTTAGAGATTGTACGATCACTAGCTAGCTAGGTATAGCTAGCTGACGGATTTTTCCAATTAGGTATATATCCATGCACACACACCGATCTTTTCATTCATTCTTTTCTTTCTTTTCACAGATATATTCCAGGTAGCTTATCAAGCACATAATGTTGGAAAATTAAACAAGGAATCCTTAACTAACAAATGAAACACGGGGAGGGAGGAAGAGAGGGGGCAGAGCTAGAGAGCTAGCTAGCTATTGCTACAGCACATCTTCGATATCATGACCTAACCTAACTACGACCCCACGTATACTCGATACTAAACTACTATAGACGAACGAACGATCGTTCGTTCGTTTCGCATATATCTATAAATCCTTTATGATATCGATATCTCTATTTCTTAGTATATCTAATAGCATAGTAGTAGGTTAGTATATCTGCTATAGCTAGCTAGCAGTACATGCATGCATGCACACATGTACATACTACCATATCTCTGTCTTGTCTCCCTTTCACATGTCACCTCTGACCCACAAACAAACCCTTTCCAAGCTCCTAACACTAGCTTTACCTTCTTCTTCCTCCTCCTCTGTATATATACACCCCCTCACCTCCCTATCTTGCACCCATCCATCCACCCATAGCTATCTCTAGCTAGCTTGCACATTCTTCATTCTTCTTGCAATCAGAGCTAGAGAAAAAGAGTTTGAGAGAGATCTAAGAGATGTCAGGGGTTTGGGTGTTCAAGAACGGGGTGGTGAGATTGGTGGAGAAGCAGCAGGCGACGGCGGGGACGGCGGTGGCGGGAGGGAGGAGGAAGGCGCTGGTGCACACGCCGAGCGGGCAGGTGGTGTCGTCGTACGCGGCGCTGGAGGCGCGGCTGACGGCGCTCGGGTGGGAGCGCTACTACGAGGACCCCTCCCTCTTCCAGTTCCACAAGCGTGGCTCCCTCGACCTCATCTCCCTCCCCGCCGACTTCTCCGCCTTCTCCTCCGTCCACATGTACGACATCGTCGTCAAGAACCGCGACTCCTTCCGCGTCGTCGACGCCTAAATTGACCTATGTATAGGCTCGCATGCATGCAAGGTAGACGACCATCCACCTTGCATGCATGCAGGCTATCATTCTCTCTTCGTCTCCGTCTTCGTCTTTCATCTTTGTTGTGGTGTGTGTGAATTTATTATACTTCTTATGACTGTGTGTGTGACTGTGTGAGAGTTCATGGAGAGTGATGAGTAGTGGTATACATATGTGTCGTCGCTGATCGATTTGGTTTATTACCTTGTGGGTGGGTATTAATTATCAGCAGTGTGTTATATCAATTGCTTACTTGTATGTGTATCATGTACATGAGTGAGTGTGGCTGATGCATATATATAGAGGTCTTTAATAATTATGTACTATATATTTGTGTAGCTAGATATATGTACTACCTGCTCTGCTATATGTAATAATGTACGCATGTTTTTGCTTATAATTAATCATATGTTGATCTGTATATGCTTATATGCAGGTGCGAGTTAATTGCCATCGATTTGAATTGTTCTTAAGTTGCCTAAATATATGTGAACATGTTGATAGAGCATTAATAAACCTAAATATATGGGAGTTCTTGTCACCTGTCTCGGCTCTCGAGTAACCAACAAGGCGATGGGGGATTACAAGTGGGCCGGAGACCTCTGTACTGCTGAAAAATGGGCCGGAAATAAACTACACACCGCTATACAAGCCGGGAGTTGTTCTTTGTTAGGCCCATGATCTATTGGCTTCATCAAGCAACGTTGCATTCCTTGATGGAATAAGTTTTACTTTGGATCCCCCATCTTCACGTGCAGTTTAAATCGCATCATTTGAACCATAATATCATATATATAACACATCTCTCAACTCTCAAAATCAGTGCAAAAGATGTCCCAAAATAGTTTGAATGGCGGTTTTGACTGACATGCCATCGGCGTGACTAGTTTGACTTTGTCCTCGTCCCACATAGCGCTCACATGGCACTAGGAGCATAATTAAAAAATATATGGGCCCATATGTTAGTCAAACGAAGAATATAAAATAAACAGTGGGTCCCATTTTCCTCCACATCACCCTCTCTCCTCTCTATCTCCTCTGGTCGGCGGCGCCTCATTGGCTCATTCCCCTGCCCTTCTCTCCCTCTGGACTTTCTCTCCTCCCTCCTTGAAGGTAAGCAGCGATGGAGGATAGAAAGCACGAAGACCGCTGCGGTGCGGGTGTGGCTGGTGGGGGAGAAGCTGGAGGGGCGCGCGAAGGAAGGCCAGCGAGCTACGTGCCCTTCCCTTGTTCCCCTCCCTCTCCAAGCGCTGTTGGCAGTGGTGAACACGACGACAATGATGACAATGGCGCCGGTAGATCCTGCTCGCCATTGTTTGGTTCGATTTTTGCTAAGGTTTGGGTGCGGGCTTTCGTTGTGGGTCTTACCGGGGGCTAGGGGATTTGTGCACAGCAAGGAGGAGGAAGGCGAGTGCAAGTACATCCGATTGAAGCGCCACGCATTGCCAAGGTCGTTCGCACACAAGTTCTGTCTGCCAGAGGACTCGGACACCGGCGACATCTCCACACATTGTGAGAATGGCCTGCTCATGGTCATCGTCAAGAAATGGATGCTGCCTGAGAAGAAGACCACGTCTGCAGCCCTTCTCCCCATCGGCCGCCACCTTGGAGGCCTAGACAAAGATGGGGAAGAGAGAAAGAGAGAGGGGGAAGAAGATTGGTTTGCTGACGTATGAGCTCCATGTGGGTCTCACGCTGACTCGGCCATGTTGAGCGTAGTCAACTCACCATATCAGCTAAAGCTGGGCACATTACTACTATTAGACCTTGGGTACCTTGATATTACAGATAACCGGATGCGATATATCTAATATTACAGTTTAAGGACACTATTTAAACTCGACGTCGAGCGACGGATCTAAAGTAAACTTATTCCTTCCTTGATAGCAGAGTTGATGTGAAAAACAAATTTGTGTCATGTGATTGGAAAGAGTAGAGTGTGTTGACAGAGTATTTATGCCTTTATGGAGACATTTTTCATTAGAAAACCAGTCATTTTTATGATACTGTAAATTATTTACATTTATATTGTAATTACAGTATAAGTTTTAAAGCTTACACTATAAATTCCAATACAAATATTTTATTCAATTTAATACACGGTATAAGAGAACTAGGATAAAAATGATTGATTACCTACTTGAAATAGTAGATAGGAGTGACAAAAACATATTTACATATAAAAGAGAGGGGGATAGCAATCCTATAAGAAAAAAATGACTAAAACCGAGTAAAAAGTGTGATGACATATTTTTAGCAAAACCAATGACTATATTATGCTGGGCTAAATTAACTACATGATATTCTCTCTTTTTCTTTACTTTTTAGAAAATATTGTAAACTCGTAGTTTGTTGTAGTACGAAAAAAAAACTTGTGAATATTTCTCCCTTACATCTCCTGCTGAACTAGGAGAGGGTTTAAGTTGCTAGGAACCAATAATGGGTACTGGGTGTTTAACTTGGTCAAACGTATCTAATCTGCAAGACAATATGTATCAGCCCTAATCTGCAAGACTAACACATCGCCTAAACAACTAATTATTGGCAGAAATTTGTGTCTGCTTAGCCTTCATCCATAGTATACAAGTATAATAATACATGATGTCCCTGTTGCGACCAACCGCGTACAAAGGTGACCTCTCACTTTCATTTTCAGTTTCTCTTTTTTTAAAAAAAAAAAACGAATTGACCGAACACGAAATTAAACAACAGCTGATCATCAAAACAGATGCTATGACGATCTCTCAATTAGTCGATTGATGGCGACGTATGATCCAATATTAGCTCGCAAAAAGATCACCCAAATCTTGGTCCTAAAAAGATTATCAGTGTAATCTGCAACAATTAGTAATTAATTTTCTCGTGTATATATGAAGGGACACTGCAACGACAGAACCGGATACAGAACAATAGAACATTGTTTAGACTGACAATTTTCTTGCGTTGATGCTAGTGCGACCCCAAGTCACCCAACAGCTAGCATTTGTTTAGACGACAAGATGATATTAATTAATTATAGATGCGATTAATTATACAAACCAGAACGGTTTGAGTTTTTCAATCTGGAGAGTGCATGGTGTAGGGTAGGCCTTCCAAGGTAGTATCATGGGATATCTTAAGGTTTGTAGTTCAGTTTATGGTACCTATTGCTTAGGGAAATGATAGATTTTAGGTCACTGAGATTTGGGGAAATCTTAGTCACCTACTAGCTAGCCGTAGGAGTCGTTTTTAACCTCTAGCTAAGGAAAGAAGAGGGGAAGGCAGTAGCCATGGCTTACATGCAATGGCGACAATGACAACAACGAGCTTCTTGCCGATCCTTTCATGTTTTTTTTTTTATCACCGATGAAACCGGCTCCGTTAGAGGACCTACGGATTAGAGTCAGGGCTCAGGTAGGGGTTGGAAACAGCATCAGAGGATGAGGTGAGGGAATGGGAACATTTTCTCTAAGCTTAGAGAGATGACGTTGAGAGCGGCTGGACTGATGGCAGACGGTGTGGCGATGAGGGCTCCGGATCCGCGGGAATGGAGGCCACCATTAGGCGGCGTTAGCAGCGGAGGCGAGGGAGGCCCTGGAGATAAGGGCCTTGCCGGTGCCATTGATGCCTTTTGGCTAGCCGGCGAGGCTAGGGACTGTGCGGTTGCGTAGATAGCATGGTCGGGCGTCGTCCTAGTACTGGCCGGGTGGAGGACAGAGAAAAAGAGCGCACGAATCTCGTTGTAATTCTAGTCGTCCAAAAATTAATTGAATTTTAAAAATTTTCAAGCAACTGTTAGACAGTCCATATATCTTATATATTACTGTATGGTATAGAGGCGGTGGAAAACCATGCCCATAGCCAGACGGTGAAAGGAATAAGTTGTTTTACATATTTTGATTCGAATCCTAGAATTGGTGTGCATGTGCCCCTCTCTCTTTTTTCCTCGTGAACTAGAGGAATTTTGCTCATGCTAGATAAAATTGAAATTATGAATTTTTATGATACTGAAAATAATGTAAAATTTCATATACAGCTCTTACTTTTGATTTCATATATATTACTGTATTTTGTGAAGAATTTATCAATCAAACTACACCACTGTAACCTGGATTCATCGTGATCTAACGATAAAGTTATATACATGTCAAATTATAAAAAAAAATTATCAGCATTTAAAGTGAACGTAGAGCTATTTGCAGATAGGTACGCAGATAGATAAAATACAAGATCTCGAACCATGACTTCAACTGTATAGTATAAGATTAAACAAAATGTGGTCATATTCTTTTATCTTTTGCAAAGTTGGCAAGATTTAATGGGCTCCTCAAAATTGAAACCATCCGAAATCAACAATCATCTATCTCTAGCAAATGCACTTTGAAACACGGTAAATATTTCAGGTAAAAATCATACTACTACAAGGCCATGTTTAGTTCCCATATTTCCAACTTTCCATCACATCATATCACATCAAAAACTTTCCTACACATATTAACTTCCAACTTTTTTTCTAAACTCCTAACTTTTTTAAACTTTTAACTTTTCTCAGGAATAACACACCCCAAATTAACCTCGATTTCGATCGCTAGAGGACAAGTTTGTAGCTACTACGGTGGGGTCGGCTTGTCGGCCAAAGTGAAGACAGGGATGTGTTCAAAGCGTCCCTTTGGCTTCTACCAGCGCAGCACGTACGGTGGGGTATACTACAGTTTTTCTTTTAATTTTTCTTTGTGAAGACGAATAAAATAAATTTGACGCGTCGGATAGATGGCACGTACCAACCATTTCGTACAGTACATTGTAATTCTTTTCTTTTTCCAAATAAAGTATATACTCACCTCTAAATCTGTTGGTGTAAGCACTACAATTTTCTCGTTTCAATCCATCGCCTATAGCACGCATATATAAATTTTCTTTGAGTATTTCTTCGGTTGTAAATATTTGATGTGTATAACAAGATTTGATCAAAATTCTAGACTTCTGACCATCGGCATATTCTCGAGTGCTCGGTTCAAATTTTAAAGTATGCATGGTAACTTATTATATACCCCCCCCCCCCCCCGCCCGGGTCCTAAAATAAGCCCAACCATAAGTTTATGCATTCAACTTTAATCGTCCGTTTTATTTGATTTTTTTGAAAAAAACTAAAAAACATAAGCTACGTATAAAATACTATTTATGTTTTATAATCTAATAACAATAAGACGGATGATCAAAATTAGATACGAAAACTCATGACTGCGCTTATTTTAGGACAGAGGGAGTACATTATAAATCTATTCTCATCTAAAATCAACGTCAAAGTTTAAAAGTTTGACAATTATTACCGTAAAATGTCAAATGCTTTTTATCTGATTGAGTAGTTAATTATTTCACACCAGTGGCGGAGTCACCGACCGGCTAGCCCAGGAGCCGCCTAGGCTCGTCTGCAAAAACTCCATTAAATTTTAATATTGATAAGTAAATTGATGATAAAATTTCTATAGTAAATACTACTTCTATTAAAGTTTGTCCAGACTCAAAAATCTTTCTAGCATTCGCAACTGTTTCACACTTCCTTTCTCCTTTGAAACAGTTATTTTTTTTGTGCAAAACAACTAATATAGTTCAAGCCAGTTCCTTCTACTAATATGTTAACGTGCAATTCTTTTACACGTTCGAAAAAATATGTAGTTTAGGCCAGCGCTGTAGTTCCACATTGAAAATGATTAAATTCACGCACCAAGTATATATGTACGTGTGTTACATAAATGAATATATGATGTTGGTTTTTAATTGCCAGCGGCCGGCCGGCGTCCTGCTCTGCTTCCATGCAACATTCACTATACTTGATTGATTAATTATTGGTAGCTCTCTTTAGCTGCTCTTTTCTTATTCTCTGCTTTCATTTTTTTTCCCCTTAAGACTACTACAATGCCTTGTGTACGATAATCTTGACTTGTTGAGCCGTGTTAGTAGGAGTAGTAGTGTCAATTGACCCATCAATTCGTAGCTCACGCTTTGCTGTGCATTGCGTGACAGTTACTAAGCAAAACCTATCGATGAAGATAAGCTAGCTAATGTTGTGCCGATAACTGCGTGGTGCGTGCCATTAAAAGTTCAGTAGGACGTTAAGTACCTGTGCCAGCCAAGCCCTAGGGTTTAGCGGCTAAGCTTGGATCATATTCGATCTGTTCTAAAATATAACCATTTCTAAAATTAAATATGGATATTAAGATAATGTGTGAGAATAATCAAGAGAAGTTTGTGATTGGTAAAAAAAAGATTAAGTAGGTGAAAAAAATTAAATAGAGATTGAAAAGATAGGTGTAGAAATAGTTTTATTCTGGAACATGGATTAAATGCATGGTAGAAATAATTTTATTTTGGGATGAGAGAACATGACCAAGGTTATCAATTATGTTCTGGTATCAGCTGGAATGGCTGGTACGTACCATTCGACCCCTTAAAAACGTTACGTAACTAGCGGCGGTACTGTTCATTCCGGTCAAATGCCAACAAATATTGAATGGAATAGTACGAACTGACATATCACTTGTTCCGGTACAATTTACCTACGAGTGAACGTTCAGTCGAATTTAACATAATTGGTTATTAAACTATATTTAGCTACAAATTATTTATCAAAATGGAGGTCTATAGTGCGAGACAGTAGAAAGGATGAGTGAGAGATAAAGACAGAGAATGTTAGGGAAGGGGGATTATTGGGCCCGTGGGATTTAGATAAGGAGAATTGGCCGGACGATTCACTATTTATTCACTAACTAGTTTAGACATAAATTCGACGTGAATCGATAAAGATGGACTATCGAGGATGATTTTTTAAAGTGATGGTAATTGTTGTATGCAATAATCTGCACGTCGTTTCTTGTAAAAAGGCGACCACAAATCCAGGATGCAAGCAACCGGTGAAATACAGAGCAAGCTTATGCATTAGAAAGAAGGAGATCACACACAAAGCCCACGACACATGCATCATCAGCAACACGAATTTTTTTTAATAACTCAGCAACACGGTTGGATCAATATATAATAAGTTAATAACTGGTAATTAAGCGTGTGGGTAGCCAAGGCTGCATCGTATCTAGAGTTTTTAAGTGTGTGTTGGCAAACAGCAGATATGTGCAAGACAAGCAAAGTGCCACAGAACAGTGGGTGCGTACGTGTACCACATGCATACTTTAATTTGATATACTGTTGTCAAGCTAATTATGTAAACTAAACTGAGCAAAATTAATTATATTATTTCCTATGTGAGATCATTAATTATTTTGATAATTGATACTCCCTCCGTTTCATATTATAAGGCTTTCTAGCATTGTCTATATTCATAGAGATGTTGAATATTAACAATACTAGAAAGTCTTTTAATATGAAAACGGAGAAAATAGTAACCAAATTAAGGTCATATCAATTCCATCACTTATCTTATAGTGGAGTACTAATGTACTATCGTAGAATTCAAGTAAACCGTAGGATTGGAGGTCGTTTAATTAGTAGGTCTGACAGTACCGGTCGATAATGTACCATCACGCCCAATTAATTAGGTATAGTGAACATTATATTGCTGGAGTAAAGCCTTATGACCAAGTTATCAACAGTACCGGAGCTAGTTTTGTCCTTGAAGGGAAAAAAAAAAGGGAAAACTGTAGTGCAATATTGAAGAGCATGTGCCTATCATGTTACACGAGATGAAACCTTTGGCATTTCTGTAGGATTATGTGACAATGGTAGAAATTAGTTACAAGATGGATTGCTTTGTAGCTAAACGATGTTCTTGATTTGTGTATGCACCATTGATCAATAGTTCAAAAATACCATAACAATTGAGATGATGCAGTTTGGAGAGAAGTGAGATATATAATCCGAACAAAGCATTAACCATCCATCTGAACTTGGAAGGTAAGAAATAATTGAGATGATATTTCTTTGTGAGGAAACAGGCCGGAGAGAAATAAGAGAGCTAATTAGGCCATATATAAATTATTCATCGAAGGGTTTAAAATAAGCAAGGTAGCGTGGCTTCCTGAAAAAATAGAGAAATGACATTAACTATATTTATTTGGTGGACAGTACCCGATCTATATTGCTATTTTCATTTTAAAACTATTTCTTGCCACCATGCATACAAGGCGCCATATGCATTGCATGGAAATCACCTTATAACCAACCCTATATATTAAATTTAGCCTTTGATTTCTTCTCTACAAAATAAATTTCCTTAACACAGTAGGAGTTAGTAGGAGACGAAAATATATAGTTAGCACAGAGAAACCCCCATCATCTGATGTCACACTCCCAATGAGTGAAGAATAATACTGCTGCTACCTCGCTCAATCATTAGTATTCGCATACGACCGCAAAAGATCATCGACGGCAAGAGAGAGAGAGAGAGAGAGAGAGAGCGACCTCGATCTTGATCTTGATCTCGATCCAGCCCAACCAACGGTCGCTGTTACGCCACGTCACCTCACCGACGCCGACGCGCCATCGCCTCGCCTCTCACCTACTGCCTCGTCCTCCTCCCCTCTCCCGCCATTGATATAAACCCCCACCTCCTCCTCCTCACACCTCACACCAATCTCCACCTTTCTTCCTCGTCGACGAGATCATCGGCATGGCGGCGGCGGCAGTAGCGTTGCTCGCGTTCCTCCTCGCCGCGGCGTCAGCGGCGTCGTCGGCGTCGGCGGCGGCGGCGACGCTGGTGGAGGGCGGCGTGGTGGGGCGCGCGGCGGTGGTGATGAGGCGGGGAGGGAGGACGTGCCGTGGCACGGTGGGGGAGTGCATGGAGTTCCTCGGCGTCGACGGCGAGGGGGAGGACGAGCTGGCGGCGGCGGCGACGGGCAAGCGGCGGGTGCTGCAGGGCGGGTCGGGGTACATCGGGTACGACGCGCTGCGGCGCGACAGCGTGCCGTGCTCGCAGCGCGGCGCGTCCTACTACAACTGCCAGCCCGGCGCCGAGGCCAACCCTTACTCCCGCGGCTGCTCCGCCATCACCCAGTGCAGGGGATGATCGATCGATCGATCGACCGAGCTAGCTAATTAATGAAATTAAATCCAATGCCATGTAGTTCGCAGCAAGAACACACGCACAGTGTCCCCTTGATCATAGCTGAGCTTATATGCTATAGCTGTCAAGATCTCAGTGTTGTCCTTGCATGCCTCTCATGCTTGATTGATTAGATGTGTAATGGTCCTAATGGATGGATGGTGTTGTTTGCTATGCTGCTTGGGTGAAATTAAAGTGATCAAGATTATGTTTTTTTGTATCTATATGCATGCAAATTAACTGGCGCTTGCAATTTTGCTTCAGTTTTTTGTTTATCTGCTTATCTGCATGATTAATGATTTTTGTTTGAATATTCCAATTAGGATAAGCAGATATGTTTGATAGATTTTTTAGCTTGGGTATAGTTTCTGTGGGCGGAGGCAGATGATCATTAATTTTAAGGGAAATTTTTTTTCTTTGATTAATTAGGTTGTGGAAAAGAATTTAGTACTAGCTATGATCTAGGCCAAATTCATGCATACAAGCTACTCCAGCTTGTAAGAAAAGAAACATCGGCGTCTATCGAGTTGAGCTGTCATTTCCGAGTTGATTTTATTTTATTTCATTTTATTTGGGTCAGATCAGGCACTATATGGTGGACAGTTTTTAATCAGTGTTACTTTGAAAAAAAGAACATTTTTGGGCCCAAAAATAAAAGATTGCATATTTGGTGAAAATGACCCATGTTTGAGAGGATCAATTCAAGGTGGGTTAATGGAAGTGGTCTTTAGCTACCTATAACAACACATGTTATGTGCAATTAGTAAAATAGTCATTTGGTAATGCCACCAAACTGTGGTTGGGCTGTCATTTTTCATCTTTGTGTGTAGTCAATGTACCTAGGAACTTTATGCACCAAGGAAAGGGGACATGATTAGTTCCCCTTTTTAAGAGAGGATAGGGAAAGTCTTTGAAGCTAGGACCACACACTGTACAAAATGGTCCCTTGAAAAATATGAATATGTTTTCTTTTAGAGTCCTAACTGGAGTACTGTTGTTTTGATTTTGTAATTAAGTCATATCAAATGTTACACGGTTTGCAGTTTACTACTTAACTTGGTGTCATTACTTTCTTTTCATGTGTTCTCACTTCTCATAGTTTAGTGAGTGGATTACACAGTAAAAGTTACAACCGCCATGCACCATATTTCATTATTTGCACAATCAATGGCTAGCTATATGAATTTTGGCTAGTTCAATTACTTGATTGTCCCAACGAGTGCAATGCTAAGATTGTGCTGTGCCTCTGTTTGAGTTGGTTCACACGTATGCGCCATCAAGATTGTGCTACCTTTTGAGTTGGCTCACACCTGATACTGCATTCTGAATCAAAGGGAATTTTTGAATGGGCTTTGGTGGTCAGAATGCAGTGTCAACAACCCATGACATGTAGTATAAAGTAGTGTGATATCACCTAGACATTTATTTGCTGATGTTGAAGGGGGAGGAGACGAGACACAAATTTTTGACTCCTGTCTTTATGTGATGATCAACAAAATCTTATAACAAACGTCAAATATTTATGATCAAGAGAACCAACTTTTATAATTTTGATAAACCGAAATGATATATTTTGAACTATCTCTTTGTTTCAAAATATAAGAACCACCAACATTTGTAGTTTGCACTAAAATATAAACACTCCTAGCACTATAAAGTATAAAGTACTACTTATTTTAATTGTTTCCCATTAAAATTTCTTTCCATCTCTTCCTTAACCACTTTCTTGCCCCTAACCATATCTTATTTAAGCCGCATTCGTTTATTCAACTCTAAAATGCAACTTTATCTTTTTTAACATGTTTTTCAAACTGTTAAATGTTTTCTTTTACAAAAACTTATTATATAGAAGTTATTTAAAAAAATCAAATAAGTTTAAGTTTAAATTTTACGGTAATTAATACTCAATTAATTATATGATATTGGCTTACCTGTTTTGAGTGCCACCAAAAAGCTAAACTAAGTTGAAGATTCAAACTAGGCCTTGATATTGGACATCGAAATCTTTTCTCTTTAACCTTAATCTCCATGGTTTCCAACTCGTAAAATCAAGTCGAGGTACCCTGGACCGATTGGTCAACTAGTCCATCACTAGCTGATGACTTGCCCATGCAAAAACAGGGATGCAACATATAGTCTTTACTAATATTATACTATACTAAGCATTGTATAAAGTATAAATTATGATCTATAGTAGCAAGACAATAAATCAACAAGAAATAAAACTAAAGTATTAAACACAACAAGCTAATTAGCATGGCGAATTAATAATTCGCAACCGACTTTACGATGAACCACGACTTGCTGTTTGGACGAGACGTGGTTCTCTAGTCGATTAGCTTGACCAACTTTACAACTAATCTATCACTAAAATCGTGACTAGTCGTATGACTTGATAACAATTATAATCTCTATGTACAAATAAAATTATATTTTGGAAATGTAGTACTAGTATTTTTTACAATTTCCTTAAAAAATTATTTTGAGGGACTTTAGTTTTTCTCCTCTAGGAAATAGACCATATATGCCTAATTTTGAAAAGGATAAAGGAGTCGTATACCGGGTATCAGAATTACTAAAATACTGTCGCAAGTTTTTTTGGAAAAAAAATATCTATAGTATAATTATAGTGTAACTACAATATTGTTACACTATAAGAAACTATATCGTAATCTCTGTATAAAGTACATTGTAAAATGTAACTGCACTAACTACATTATAACCACCATATAAGTTAGACAAAAAATTATATATATTATTTCAATACTTATATATAAGTTATATTATAGTTAGAGTAAAATTATATTACAATTACAAGATTTGAAAGTTTATCCTTTAAAATTACGGCAGTTTTCTTTATAGTCTCTACTCGTATATATAGGCGGTTTATAACAACTTGAACTTTTATTTGGGACACGTGTACATAACTCTTTCGGTCCGGGACCCTCTCTTGTTTTTCTTCGTTGCTCGCGAGCTCTTCCCCCCTCGCCTCGCCTCCCCACCCAACAAGCCCGCGGCGGCGACTAGGGTTTTGACCCCCCGGAATCCCCCCTCCTCTCGCCGCCTCCGCCTCCGCCGCCGCCGCCTTCCTCCCCGCGCCGGCGACGATCTGCTCCTCCTCCCCCGCCGGCATCGCTGTTTCCGGATCTAGCGCAAGATGGTTCGTCTCTCTCTCTATTTCTCAATCTGTACCCTCTCGATCCCCAAATTAATGCGGCCGTGTCTGATTCTGTGTTTGTGTTGTGGTTGCAGCTTCCGCTCTCGCTCCTCAAGACCGCCCAGGGGCATCCCATGGTAAGAGAAGATCCGCCGCTTCGCGCTGTGCGTGGTGGTTGTTTGGTTTGGTTTCTGATCGGCTAGGGTTTGAAACTTTTGTGTGGTTTTTTTTTAGCTCGTGGAGCTTAAGAACGGCGAGACGTACAACGGGCACTTGGTGAACTGCGACACGTGGATGAACATCCACCTCCGGGAGGTTATTTGCACCTCAAAGGTGAAATCTCGCATCCCCGACCCACTTCGCTTGTAGATTTTAGTGGGGACAAAAGATTAGTGGCATTGTTTGGATTTGGGGAAAATAGGGAGTAGCCATTTGTTAAAGTAGTCTTCATATTTTTTTTGGAATTTGACGTGGAGATAGACAGATAGTAGGAACTTATAGTTCGAATTGTGTGTTCTCTTTTGGGTCATTTGGTTCCAATTGGTTTGATCGTTTAGTTTGTGATGAATGCTGTTTCCTCATTGTTTATGGTTGTCATTGCAGGATGGTGATAAGTTTTGGAGGATGCCAGAATGTTACATCCGTGGGAACACCATCAAGTATCTTCGGGTTCCTGATGAGGTATGGATTTTTAACATGTTAAACCTTGTTTACTATGTGCTTGTGGTTTGCTGGTTGTATGTTTAGACATGTATGTTCTCCATCTGCATAATCAGCCTTTTTTTTTCCCTGTTAGCATTCATCACCATAATTGCTAGCAAAATCACTATGTCGTGTGCAATTTTTTTGTGGTCAGCTTTCAGTTTCAAGTTTTGTTTTCCCTTTTAGATCTTTATGGGTGCCAGTGTGTCTCTTGTTTTGTCTGAGTAATCTCTCACGTTAGATATATGTAAGTTATTTGATGCCATTTAAGATATCTGCCTTATGGTGTTTTTAAGTGATTTGAGCAGATGAGGACCTCTCTTAAGCTAAGCAGAGCATTTTAATATGATTACGTGCAAATCACTCTGCATTTTATCTGTTAACTATCCACGAGGGGCTGATAAATTTTCTTGATTTCAAATCACTGATATATGACACCAAACAATTCTCCTGCTATGAATAGTGACAAAACTTATGTTCCAACTCTGCTGTACGCAAAGCTACTTTCCCACAGCCAAGGAACATTGAAAATAGTTCAGAACTTCAGATAATGGAGAAGTAAATATCACATAACCGTGACCTGGATAGTAGGCCTAAGTATATATGTCTCCTAGGTCACATCATATAGATGTAGCTGACTTTACATCATATGGATATAAATGTTATTAGTACTTTTAACCCATAAATCTATAAGCAAAGCACAAATGGGAATGTATTGAGCCAGGATATGCCCACACTTGTTATCAATTCTGAATTTAACCAGCCTTTCAATCCCTATTCTGGAAGTACAATCGAAAATTGATATGGTAGAGGTAGAATACTTTTTACCCGATCTTCTGGAGTTAGACAGCCTTTTATCCTTATTCTTAATCTTAAGCTGCATATTTTACCACTGAGATTAAGATTAAGAAACAGACATAAATAGGACTATTGTACCACTGAGATTTAGATTGCATTTTCCTCATGTGCTGGTTTGAGTAATCAAACAATCCTACGATGAGTTGGTCAATTGTGGGACCATCCCACAATTTAGTTGGTTTCCTTATTTTTCTACAAAACTTGATACTTTTGAGGGATGAGATGGAGTGGACCAACCCATTAACATTCCCAACCAAATAGTTAAGTTCAGAGTTAGGATCGTATGGTTCATTCACCAACTAATTCCTGAAATAGAACAGGGCCATCAGTTCATCTCTTGTTAGATATCTCTTGTGTTCATTTTGTTGTATTACTCTTTATTTTTATTTTTAGAGGTCAAATAGCTAATTGGATGTTCTTGATACTACCTCCATCCCAAAGTATGAGTTTTAGGGTTGGGCACGGGTATTAAGAAAGTTGGTGGAATCAAATGGGGAAAGGTTGTGATTGATTGATTTCGATTGATTATTTTTGTCTTTTCATGACATTCCAGCATATGTTATGTACTTCTGTTTTACCTTCATGATGATGATGATGATACACCAGCGTTGTCATTGTTACCTGTGCTTTCCAATCCTAAATGCATGAATTTATTTCTATGACAGGTGATTGACAAGGTCCAGGAAGAGACTTCAAAGAGCAGATCAGGTATGTACCCAATGGTTCCAGCTGTTATAAATCACATTTGTCTCTGTAATTATTTAGATGTTTTAATATTTTCTGTGAACTTGATGAAATATTTAAATCATAATTTTGTGCTATTAGTTGCCTTTGCTTGAACCTTATTCCAGTTCATTATTGGAGAAAAAATTGACCTTATTCAGTTTCCAAGAGATGTATTTTGTCATAACCCATAATTTTTATTAGTAAGAAGTACATTATATGCGGCAGTGCTATCAGTTGAATGTATGTGGCAGTGCAAATGCGTTTATGCGTGCAAGTAGTAATGCGACTGCAGTTCTTTTCTTGGGCTGGTTCTTAATTTTCAACAAACATAACGTAACTTATACTTCAAAAATTAGCGATGAATTGCATGTTTACGCTTTACAGTGTAAATAGTATCAAATCAATCTGTAAATGCACATTGATACAGGCAGTATCCTACATCTATAGTGTTGTTGATGTCATTCATGAAACCCTCGTGTTCCTCTTTTCTTATATTTGGTGTATTATGGTTATTCTGATTTTCTGATTACTAGAGAATTTCACCTTTTTGAACATCTTTTGAAGTTAAGTTCAACGCTGAATTGCCTATGCTCTTCTAAATGCAGATAGGAGGCCACCAGGTGTAGGCCGCGGAAGAGGAAGAGGTGATATAGGTACTAAGCCTGGAGGCAGAGGCATTGGGCGTGGCCAGGATGATGGTGGCAGCAAAGGCGGTGGTGGCCGTGGAAGGGGAGGAATTGGAGGTAAAGGTGGCATCAAAGGTATGCTTCTTGCTTGAATTTAGACTCTACTATACCGCCAAAGTAGTTTGTATTTTGTTTTGAGGGGATAACCAATCTGCTTGTACTCTATGGCAGGTGGGGGCCGCGGACGTGGGTGAGAGGGAAGGTCACTTGTGGGAATGCCGCTTTTTTAAGGCTTTGTGTCACATAGATTGCTTTAGGAGGGTGAAGAATGGACTGGTGGAGTAAGCATTGCTTTGCTTTATCATTTTGTGGTATGACCGAAAAATGTTTCATGGGTTCAGTAGTTACCAGTGAAGAGGCAGCGGTTGGCCTGTCTCGAAACAATTTGTTTGATGTCTGGACCCTCGACTATATTGAATATTATTGTGGTTATTACTTTGACCTGTTCATCGCAGAGAGCCAGGTAATGTTCTTGATTGTTCAGCAATAGTATATCTATATTGTGCTGCTTGGAGTGCTCTTTTACCTAGGCGCATATGCCGACCACGAGCATTCTCTCTGCTTCAATATTCTCTCTGCTTCAATATTCTCTCTGCTTCAATGTTCTCACTATTGAGTGATACTCCTTCAGTACCATACAAAACCAACCTACACAATCTAGGACTACTAATCTAGACATTACCTCTATCCAGATTAGTTGTACTAGAATGTCTAACATGTTTTAGATTTGTTTTTTTTTTGGAGGGAGGAATTAAGTCTCAGACAGTCGCACCATTTTACCATAAAATGGTGGTGTGTTTGCGCAGACGTTTTTCATATAATTGGTTTCACAGCAGCGCGTCATTTTAATTCGATCCGCACAAATTATGTCGTGTGATGGTCACACCTTGCTTGCTGTAGACCACTCTCGCAACTGCTGCCCTGATAAACGGAACGGCCAGCCCGAATGCATTTACATATAACTAATTATAAGTAAGAATTATTTTAATTTTTTTAAAAATAGATTGTAAGAATTATTTTATTTTTTAAAAAATAGATTAATATATTTTTAAGTAACTTTTGTATAGATTTTTTTTTAAAAAAATGCAACGCTTAGCAACGAGGCACTTTTTCTCTCAATATTCTCCCCTAAAACTCAGCCTAAGCAGACGTTCCGGTAATTTCTCTCCATTTTCTTCACGAATCAAACAGCTTCGAAAAAATTGCGTCGAGAAGGAAAAAAAAAGAGATACTAATAACCACCATTAACGAAAGAGATGAATACTCCGTATATTCTTTTATTTAGGAGTAACAGATTACATGAGGATTATGCGTCTGCATAGGTGGAAGCGTGGATCAACCAATGCACCTACTACGTATACACTGTACACAGGTGGGCCCTCCAGTCAACTCGACTTGACCATCTGGCCCCACCTGTCAGCCTCTCACGAGACCGTCAACCGAGTCACTCGTGGTTGACCGGCTGGCGCTGGGCTCTCCCCCCATTGGCAAGACGGTTTTGTCGCCAGCTGCGAACGCGAGAAAGGAGGACCCCCCGGTGGGGAGCGCGTGGATCCGTGGACCCGGTGTTGGTGCACCCTCCCACTGGGCCCCACCACCCATTCACACTCCAGTGGGCCCGGGTCCATGCACCGGGTCTACGCCCCAGTAGTAGCAGCCACCTCACCTCCCCTTCAAAAAAGGCAAGCAACGGAAGAGGGCGCGAGGCGAGGAGGAGGAGGAGGAGGGCAAAAGCTTGCAGGAGAAGGCATCCGCATCCGCATCTGCCGCCGTCGGTGGGGGCGGAGACCGGAGCATGGCGGAGGCGGAGGAGAAGCGGGTGGGGGTGGGGGAGGCGCGGGCGCCGCTCGCCGTGGAGGCGCTCCGGGGGAAGATCGTGGAGAAGGTGAAGGGGAACCGCGTCACTCTCATCGTGGGGGACACCGGATGCGGTAACCGCACTGATTGCTCTCTCCCTCCCCCTGTGTGTGTGTGTTCTAGTTTCGACTCCATCCGCTCGCGCCGAATGTGCGATTGGCTCCCATGGTCGGTGGGGGTTTGGGGGGAGGTTTTCGCGTTTGGTTATGGGTGCGCATTTTTTGACGGATTTTTTTTTCATCTGTGAAAAGTTGGTGCTTGGTTCGTTCATCTATGTTTTTCTCCTACCTCGTTGGGTTTTCCGGCCTATGGTAGGATGGCATGGTATTGGGGGGGGGGGGTGGTTTCAGTTTTGGATTGGAATTTCTGCCGTGCCGCGGAAATGCGGGATACTGAAAAAGGAGGGGTTTTTTTAGTGGGTTTCAGGCTTGAGTGCTGGAGGTTTTAGCGAGTTTTCAACCTTGGATAGTGTTTTTGCATCTTTATTGCAAGGGTTTTGGTAAAAGTGATGTTCTTCAAATTTGATAAGATAATGAATGATCTACGAGAGATGTTTCCTTTCACTTTGTTTATGTTTCTTCTTCTGACAATAGTGTGGATTTATCTTCTAAAAATCCTGCTTTAGGGAGTCTAACTTTACTATAACTAGATTTGCATCCCAGAGGTTTCTGATCTGAGTGTTGCATTGTTACGAACTCAGTGCCACAACTAGCCCCTTTTTTTTTGCATTTTTTTCTACAAATTTAGGTCACATTGCATTTATTCTCTGTTTTTTTTCTGTTGCACGTTCAGCTTGTTGAACCAATGATGGGTAACATTGCCATGTTTTTTAAATCATTATCTGGGATGTAAATTTCTGCCTAATTTGGACCTACTAACGGATCGATATGTTGTTTCATTGCAGGAAAGAGTTCTATGGTTCCACAGTTCCTCCTGGAAGAAAACATGGAACCCATTCTATGCACGCAGCCAAGGAGGTTTGCAGTAGTAGCCATTGCTCAAATGATTGCCGAATCTCGCAATTGTCAGGTAGGAGAAGAGGTCGGATATCACATAGGACACTCGAATGTGTCCAATCTCAATTCAAAAAGGTGATTCCTCTGTGATCCATGATTAGTGAGCTTTCATAATAACCTTAATAAGGACACAAGCAATGAACGAGCTGAGACACATTTAATTTGTATCTATACAACCGCAGTGAAAATACTACCACTAATTGTAATTTGTATCTATACAAGCACAGTGAAAATGATATCACTAATTGTAATTGAACTACAGTGACAAGACATTGACCTCATTGGCACCGTATTTGCTGATATTAGGCAGTTGGATTTCTTCTACAAATTCTGCTGATCTCAATTAAAATTATTATGCATGATACCTTTTGTAGCAAAGGATATTGAGCATATTGAAAGATTAAGTTCTTGTAGTATATAACTTTTTTTTTGTGAGAATTTTAGTATATAGAGAAGGGCATTCAAGCAAATTTGCTTTATCCTGGCTGGCCAGTCCATGTCATAGAACGACATAACATGCAGGCCCATTTATATCCACATTGCTAGTGCGATTGAAATCTGGATATATCATATAAAACAGTGCTACACATTCTCTCTAGTATCTTATCCACCTCAGTTGCATACTTGTATCATATGTCCTTACCCACTTGTCGATTGACTTCTAACTTTCAAACCTGTTCGACGCACGAATCAGGTCAAGAATTGTTTTCAAAACAGCTGGTGTTGTATTGGAGCAAATGCGTGACAAGGGCATTGCTGCATTGAACTATAAGGTTATTATTCTCGATGAAATACATGAAAGGTCAGTGGAATCTGACCTTGTCCTCGCCTGTGTCAAGCAGTTTATGATGAAAAAGAATGACTTGAGGTAATTGCTGCAGTGACCTGCTTTAATGCTTTCCATTAAACCATCTTTTAGTAGTGATGATTCCAATCCACCTTAAAAACTGACTGCCTTACTTTCTTCCTGCTGATTGATAAGACGTGTGTCATTCCTCTCTTGACATAGGTTGATTTTGATGTCTGCGACTGCTGATATCACAAGATATAAGGATTACTTCAGAGATCTTGGAAGGGGTGAAAGGGTTGAGGTGATTGCCATTCCTAGCAGTCCACGCAGTAGCATTTTTCAGAGAAAAGTCCTATACCTTGAGCAGGTAAATGTTACATCTGACTTTAGAAAGTCAGCTATCCATGTTTATTGTTCTCAATTACCATTAAACTTCAATAAGAAAACAAATTAATTTCTAGTTTAAGTTGCATATTGTACCTTATTTTTCCTCCATGGTATGTAATTAACAATTTACCACACATACAGCAGTTTATTCCTGTATTTTCTACAGGCTCGGTTTTGTAGCATGGATTTTACTATTCTATCATTGACCTATCATAATAATCTACTTTTTAAGCTGTATTTCTTAAATACAGCAACTTAAAATTATGATTTTGAACTTTTAACAGTACTACTGTCTGTTCCTAGTTTAGGCCAACTTATTGATATTTCTGAAATCGAGTATATTTATTTTATTCCTTTCTTTCAAAAAAGTACTTTCTTCAAAAAAGAGCATGTCTCTAAAAATGCCGAGTGGTGTTAGAGCTCTCTCTCGAAGGCACTCCTTTGGTTTTCGAGTTGAAGGTACAGACATAAAGGGGCTATGCTAAGCTTGCTAAATAAGGGCCTTTAAACAACTCTACTTTTCTTAAACAAAATGCACGGGAACTTACGTTCACTAACTGGATACTAAAACGGACAAAGGAAGTGGAGATCAGGCGATGTAGACTCGAAATGACAGCTTCTCGCACGGTTTGCAAGGCCGAAACAACATGAGTTTTACTATTATCGTCATCATTAGAAGTATGTTCCTTTACCTGTCGCTGCTAGTTGTTTTCTATTTTAATGTAATCTACTGTATAGCTTATCGCTCACATGTTTAGTACGTAATGCTATGAAATGCTGGACAGATTGTTGATATTCTCAAGATGGACTCGGAATCACTATCAACAAAATACTGCTCTGGACCCAACACTGCAGCTGATGCTGGTCTAAAACCAGATGTGTATGAACTTATTCATAGGTTATTGTTGCATATACACCAAAATGAGCCAGACATTGGGAAGAGTATTTTGGTGTTCCTTCCTACATACTATGCTTTGGAGCAGCAATGGATTCGTCTGCTATCTGCTAGTTCAATGTTCAAAGTACACATTCTCCATCGCAGCATTGACACCGATGAAGCTCTTCAAACTATGAAGGTCTCAAAGTCCTGTCGTAAGGTACAATTTTCTGCATTGAAATTCAGCTTTGTGTTTTAGTTAAATGTTTCTGAACTGTTAAGATTTTCTCCTATGAACAGACACAATGATAGACATTATATAGACAGTGCATAGAATTATTGCTGTCCTGTTATCACTATCCTTGTTTTCTACTTGCAGGTACATAGCTGCAAGCCTGCAATACTCTTCAGCATAAATTGCAAATTTATTTAAAACCCATTGCATGTTTTTAATTACCTTTAAAGTTGTGTTCTGAATATATTAATGAGGTTTGCCACTTTGCCATCATCTGCAAAAAGCAAGTTCTGATTTATTTTCCTTTCCAACATTGTTTTCCACTAGCACTAGCTTTAGAACACAGGATTCAGTCCCCGGCTACAGGGGCTCTGTCCACTGCATCCTCCCACAGCAACAGATCCAGAGACCAGGAGTACCAAGTGACCCTGATAATCATATAATTTGCACTTAAAAATAATGTAACATTGATTTGGCCTGTAATGTTCAAAATTTACATGATTGAATATTCTCCTCTGTCTAATTGGTTTCGATTGAACTCACTCAAATGCGATTGAACTATAATCTTCTTGTTTGTATCTTTGTTGCAGGTTATACTGGCAACAAACATTGCAGAATCATCAGTCACTATTCCAGGAGTTGCTTATGTTATTGACTCCTGTAGATCACTGCAAGTTTATTGGGATCCAATCAGGAAAACAGACTCAGCTGAGCTTGTATGGGTTTCCAAATCTCAGGTATATCTCACAAATATACTGATGTTTTTCGTTTGCAACTAAAGTTTGACCCTAAAGATTGTACGTTACAATTTTTTTGTAATTATTTCTAGGCTGAACAGCGGAAAGGCAGGACAGGGCGAACCTGTGATGGTCAAATTTATCGCTTGGTAACTGGGCCATTTTATAACAGTTTAACTGATCATGAGTATCCTGCCATTTTAAGATTGTCCTTAAGAGAGCAAGTACTCATGATTTGTTGTGCAGAGTCCAGAGCTATGAACGATCCTCATGGTAATTCTTTTCATGCATATATTTCATTCGTGTCTTTTTTCTGACAAGTTCAGCCTTTGTTACATTTGCATAAATTTATGCTCCATGTTTTTTAATGTTTTGTGATGGAGCACCATTAGCATTATTTATATTCTTGAGAAGCTACAATTGATTTTCCTTCTTTTATTTACTAAGGTTCTGTCCACTCTTTTTTACTTGTCATCTAGGATATCGATAGTCTTAGCACATGTTTTTATCATTAGTTTAATACTTTTTTTTTCTAATTGAGTGTTTATAAAAAATATCGATACTATAGCTAAATGAAGTATTTTTCATGAAAAATCTACTAATATCATGTACATATTTAATATATATTTGTTTTGCATATATTAGTGATTTAAGATGAAGGTTTGCCTGCATGCATTTTAGAACAGCATCTTTTTGTAAATGCAGGATACTAAGTTATGATAAAATCATGTCCTGTAGTATAATTAAGCACTGTACAGTTGGTTAACTATTTTTCTTTCAATGATAATTGTTTGTATCATGCATTCGATACTTTCCAGTGAAAATAGTTCTAGTGTCTATGCAGCCAGTTCTAGGAAGTTAAGGGTTTGCATCTAAACTTGGTTATCTTGCATTTAGTCTGGACTCTGGACACATGTAAATGATAGTATATTTGTTCTACAAACACAAATCTGGTGAACCGTACATAAGTATCTTAGCCACTGTTGCACTATTTTATTCTAAAAAACTGAGTGCAAGTAGTTTCTGGTGTTTTGGCATAACATGTCAAGGTTAATTTATAGTAATTAGAAATTACTATTCTTTCTGTATTTGTACATTTTCCCTTTTATTTAATTTTCAGGATTCCATATTACTTTCTCATCATATTAAAACTTTACATTGTATTGTTTATATTTGGTGTACTTAATTGTTCCTTTTTAACTTTCAATGGCCTTCCATACACAAATTTGATCACTTCACTTAAAAATCAAGCCAATTTTGTTACGATTCAATTGCATTATATTTATGAAAGTATAGAAAAATATAATACCATGCAAGCATCTTTTAATATTTTTGATAAATTTACTATCACAATGGCCATGTGACTAATTCAAAATACTTCAGTGTAAATTAGTGACTATTTGAATTTTTATAATATACATCTTTATTAAATGAAACTTATGGGTTGGAGGGAGCATTATTTATCGCAATTATTAATAATTGGTCCTTTTTGTTCATATTAAGTTAAAATTCTCACTATCAGGCATTTATTTCTGACAGTCCTGCTGCAAAAAGTTCTTGACCCGCCAGATTCGGATGTTGTTGAAGATGCATTGGAATCTCTTGTTCAAATTCGTGCTTTAGATAAGCCAACCTCTCCTAGAGGGCGCCATGAGCCAACCTTTTATGGATGTTTGCTTAATAGTTTGCCACTCTCATTTGACGCTTCTGTTCTAGCCCTTAAATTTGGTGATACTGGCTCCATCTGTGAAGGAATTCTGATAAGCATCATGCTGGACATCCAACCCCTGCCTATCGTCCAACCTTTTGGTCACCAACAATTGGTATGTGTTTTTGTTGCATCATGACTAATGCTTGCATCATCATGTTGTAGTAGTTATATGTTGTACGTTTTGTTTTACAGTGCAAAATGTATAGAAACAATTACTTTGAGGAGGAGGGTATCGACCTGCAAACTGGCAAGAAGGAAGCTGCACTTGTTGGAAATCTTTGTGCATTTCAATTCTGGCAGCGTATGTTTAAGGTATATCATATCTGTAATAATCATGTTCCTTGTGCATATTTACAGGCCTTATGCAGTTAATAATTGATTCAACATTTATGTTTCAGGCGCATGTCAATTGCCATGTATTAACATCATATTCCTTCTTTTAGTAGTTAAAACAGTTCTCTATTAGTTCCTTTTCCAGTAAATATCTATTAATTGGTGCGGGACTCTTTTCCAGAAAACATTATTATATAAGACTCAGGGCAATTATTTTTGTTTATCTGCTTTTGGAAATGTTTATTACATTAGTAAAGTGATGTCTTCATATGTTGCAGGACAAGTATCGTCTGGATTGTCTGATAAATGTGGTGAACACTCATGAACCGAAGGCATCTAATGGTTTTGTTGCTAAACCTGAAGATGAGTGGTGTGCATTTCATAACCTTGTGCCAACAGCACTTAACTACATCTCTGAAATTTGTACGTCCTTTACCTGTACCTCATTATAAAAATTTTATGAAGTGAATTGCACTCTTGTAGCAGTAGGTAATCTCACTCTTCATCTGCTGTATATTTTGGTTGCACATATGTTCACATTTTTTAAATATATGCTGATTACCTTTCTTACTTTCCATGTAAGGTTTTCCAATATGATTTTGAAAATGTACAAGACATAGTAGAAAGGGTGCACCTTGCAGTTATGTATAAATGTGCTTTGTGTAAAGAAACATACCTAGTATGAGGCATGTGTCCTATTGTGTTTCCAATATGATATATGTGTTGCTAACCCTTCCTTTTGAACAGATGATGATATTATGGGCACACTTCACCGATTTAGACCTAGTTTTCTTGTGAAAATAAATCCTCCAATGTACCTTCAGCCTTCCGAATTCCACCACATGTGTCTTCGCCATGAAGTGCTGGAACTAGAGAATGTGAATTCACTTCCATTAGAAGCTGAGAATTCTCACTTGGATTCACATCGCAGGTGTGCTGCAACCCCTTATGTTTCTCCAGCTGATTTTGGAACCACTACTGTTGTTAAAACACTGAAGACACTTATCAAGGAGGTGCGGTATAAGTTTTATGCATATGATTATTCTTATATATATGAAATACATTATATATGCAACCATCAATAATGGTTCCTGTTTTCTTCACAGATGAAGACACAATCTGCGGCAGACAGGGTAACTTATAGAGAACTAGTTCATGGTTATGTTCAACCAGCGTTGGAAAATGAGATGTGTGTGTTCTTTCTTAATGGATCTTGTAATCGAGGTGATACATGCCATTTTTCTCATTCTTCTCGTGCTCCAAGACCAATATGCAAGTTCTTCCTCACATTACAGGTACAAATGTCGACTTTTAGAAACAAAAAGAGTTGCTATAACTTTCGAACCCTAAAGCGCTTGTGTGGTATTTTTTATCCTCTTTTCTATTTCTGACATGTTGTTTATTTTGATCAGGGTTGTCGAAATGGTAACTCGTGTTCATTTTCACATGACTCTGGCTCTTTGGTTTCTTCATCTATCACATCTGGAATCTGCTCTCAGGAAAACAGAGCTACTTCAGTATGTTGTAAAAGGTTGCTGCCTGCTGCTGGTGATGGGCATATTCTTGTCATGAATGATAAAAGTTTACAGTTCGCTTGTAAACTTTGTAACTATTATGACCCCACTAAGATTATTGCCTGTACACCTGGTCCTCATTCATTCGAGTCTGATTCAGTGACTAAGGGCCTCAAGATTCTACAGAATTTGGCTGATCCCTCTTATCTATTCATTGGAGGTGAACATAAACTATCAGTTCCATGGACAAAATTGAGTCGAGTATTTTGGTTTGCTGATATTGATTCCAACGAATCAATTAGCGAGCAAGTTGTCTTGCAGAAGTTTTTCCAGCATATTGCCATCAAGACCTTGTCAGAAAAGATGTCAGATTTGCAGGTCATCGTGATCATGAATAACGCAAAATTTGTTCAGTTACAGGTAAATTCTCAAGTTCTATTACAAATTCAAATTCCCTTCACTCACACTATTCAGCTAAAAACAACTTCCTATTTAATGTGTAATACATGTTTCAAGTTAGACTGCTTCTTTTGGCTGGTATATATATCCCTGTTTAATATTTGAGAATGAAAGCGTCCAAATTGCTGCTGTAGGTTTCAAGTGTGAATTAACTGTAAATTTCCAGATGTAATCCTTTTTCTGCTTGTTTCTCTAGGTCGAAAGATTGGCAAGAGAGTGCTTCTTATTTCTGGGTGAATCATTTATGTTTGATGAAGCAACTCTTGGATGGTTCTCGGATACCCCTAATTACCCGAGAGGGATGCAAGTATCAGCACCAGTTGCTTACATCTTTAGCATGCATCCTCCTACTGGCATTCAGTTTGGTGATTACGCATCAGAACTGCGCAAAGTTTTATACAGCAACTAGTTAGACCATTATAGGTTATTTCCACATGTGAATAGCTTTGGTCAAGCCATTTTGCGAACTGTAATTTTTTGGTCAGTTCAGCTTTTACAGAAGTGTAAGGCTTACTTGAGTGCTATCTGAATTAGAATTCACTAGGGAACTTTAACTGAAGGGATGCTGTTTTAAATGTTGGTTCCGAACTTAAATTGATGCCAAATTTCCTGAACTGAAAGCTTGTTATGTTAATGTGCAATCCCTTATCATTCCGTAACATCAGTAACTTAACTTTTTTTCATCCTCAACTGTATCATCAAACGTGGCACTGATGTGGATATGTTTCTTTGACCTCATGGATTTGGTTTATTGACCTCATGGTCATATTCTAATGAGAAAAGTTTCGTCTGATAATATGTCAGCCAGGGATTAAAACAAAATTGAAGGACAGTCTGATGATACTGAAGGTGCGGACAGGGCCCCACAACTTAGTCTAATGATTACGATCAGACTTCATTATATAACTTTATTATACATAAAACTATCTTTATTCAAATCTCAATTAATTTCAGCATATTTGAAACAATACTTTTTAAAAGTAGTGCAGAGTGAAACTATATACGCTTTATGTTTTAAAATTTTAAGTAAATTCATACTCAAGGGTGAGATTTTGTAAAACTTTAAAAACATAATATCTGGGGTTGGTTATATGCTATGAAATGTGTATGCTATGAAATTAAATTATTTTTAGTTACTTTGTGTATGCTATGAAATGTGCTCTAAATTAAATTATTTTTAGTTACTTTGTTCATTTTTTCTATGGCTTCACATAGATGAAATAAGTCAATTTTGCTTCCCTTAGCTACTGCTCCCGATCGAATCGCCTCTCTCAACCATAAAACTGGGTATAACTTCTCGCCCATTTTTAAAAACCAGTGCAAATTAAACTCCTTCAGTTATTTTTAAAGCGGTTTCTACTGACGTGGTAAGTTAATCACAATTGATTCGTTAAATCAGCAAGCTGGACCCACACATCAAAGACTCGCGTGTAAGCCTCTCAACGAAAAAAAAAAATCTGTAGGATCCACTTCCCTCCCCTTCCTCTCTATTTTCCTTTCTTTTCTTTTTTTTTTCCATCCATCGCTCTTACCGATGGGCGACGGAGAAAGGGCCAGACGGCGGCTGTTGCTGCTGCTAGCGAGCATCGAACGTGTTGACCACTGTGCCAGAGGAGTTTGTTTAGGTTTCTACTGAGAGAGCCAGTACACTTTTGTTGGCCATTTTACTCGTTGATGAAGTGGAGCGTACTTAATTGGCTGGGTTGAACATGTACGCCTGATACTCACAGTGGACAGTGGTGGCATCTGTATCGCTGAGCCATATCGTACGTGCAGCCAGGGTTTACTCTATCGGTAGAGGCGTTTGTATAGGGGGTCACCGAAATTCTAAAATTTCGGTCTGAAATATCCGAAATTTTGAGTAAACTTTAGTTGAATTTGAACAAATATTATCCAAATTCATGAAAAAAATGAAAATTTTCGGCCAAAATAATATCGTATCGGAGGTGACCGAAATGACCGGAATTTCCGAAATTTCGGAAATTTCGGTCCGAAATTTCCAACCCCAGGCCGAGGCAAAGCTCAGCCTTGTGCGCACTGAGGATGACCATGCATGCCGCCGACCAACGCTGCTGGCTCCGACTCCGCGAGCGCGTCGGGGGCGCACCCGGACACTTCGATGGTGTAGGACGGCAAGGCGACGAACACCAACTCCGGGGTGCGCCGCCGGGTCCAGCGTGTTTATATTGTATGTAGGGGTAAAAACGGGCAGGTACACGAAACCACCTATAGTACAAATAAGTGGGTAACCTTGCCCACTAGCACCCCTAGTTTTATGTGGTGCAGAGGACGCGCAGTGATGGCGAATAGTCGGGCGAGTTGTAGCATCAGGCTATGGTGGTGGCCATTGAAACTGTGGCTGATGCTTCCATGCCTGCTCCTCTTCCCCCGGTGGCCATCCTGGATATCACCGGGAGGGATGGAAAGACGGGAAGAGAGGTGACTCATACGTGGGTCCAACCTGTTGACTCAACAAATCAACCATGTTAAACTTGGCACGTCATCATAAACAGCTTTCGAAACCAGTCAATTTGCTCCTCTTTTCAAAAAAAGGGAAAATATGTTATACTCAGGCTCCCATCGGTTGCCCATTTGGCCAAAATGGCTTATTTGGCTTATTAGAAAATTAAAATTAATTTATAAGTAAAACTTTTATAGATTTGTTCGTAGCGACTTAAAAGCCAACATTAACAAAAATTACGTTAAAAGCATTTCAAAATCACTTCAAAATCAAGTTCAAAAATTCAAATTTTGGCTTATTCTTGAGTAAATTCCTTGAGTGCCCCTGAAAAGTTATTCAATCTCTTACATGCCCCTGAAACTTACTCGATTCCTTCTATACCCTTGAATTTTTGATTGGATCCCCTACATACCCCTACCGTTAGATTTAGCAGCATTCCCTGGTTAGTTTGGTTGAAAATGTCTATAATACCCTTGAGGTTGGAGGAGCTGAAAACTAAGAACATGTTTGGCAGCTGGGTTTGAAACATTCATGACTGCACAGTATGTATTCCGTGAGACTAAAAAAATAGTGCATAAAATTAATTTCATTTTCTTTTGTTATAGCATTCAGTATTTTATAAAAAAATATAACATGACATTGGATCTTTCATGACCACTAACCGATACAGCCTGGGGGTAAAAGACAGTACCCCTACCCGTTTACTCAAACACCATTGCAATTCATCAGCATATCAAGAGCATCGGTAGCACCATTTAATAGGAAGAAAATGAAAATACATCTAAAAGCATTCATACACCATCAGCAGTACACAAATATATTACTTTTTACATCATGAGCATAATGGCACAAGCCCATAACAGTTCAAGGCATCTGCCTGCATAAAGTCAAACAAATTAATGAAGAAACACTAGCAGCAGCAGCTATTCGCATTTTGCTAATCAACGCAAGGGTGTATCTTACCGACGGCGAGGAGCAGCGGAGCAAGGAGGTAATAGGCCGGCGTCGGAGCCCCCGAGAAGAGGGTGAGGTGACAAGAGGGAGGGCGCGGAGGAGGCAGGGAGGAGACGGCGTCGCCATGACCGCAAGCAGAGTCGAGGCCGCGGCGGGATGCGGACTCGTCGCCGCGGCAGGATGCAAAGCCGCCGCCGCCCACCAGATACGGACCCCGCCACGCCACCGATGGGATGCGGACCCAGCCGCCGCCGCCGACCGCAAGCAGAGCCGAGACCGCGGCGGGATGCAGAGCCGCTGCCGCCGCCGGGATGTGGGAGAAGGGCGGCGATGCGCGTGCAACGATGGCTGAAAGCTGGCGATGTGCGGCACCGTGCGTGTGGGAACTATTTTGGAGGATTTGGGGATCGGATGTGGCCCTGTGTTACCTAGGGTTGACAGGGGCATTTTCGCATTTTATGAAAATACTGACAAGCTAACACACACATGAACACAAACATCTGACGGAACCCAAACGGTAGGGGTATGTAGGGGATCCAATCGAAAATTCAGGGGTATAGAAGGAATCGAGTAAGTTTCAGGGGCATGTAAGGGATTGGGTAACTTTTCAGGGGCACACAAGGAATTTACTCCTTATTCTTTGACTGTTTAGGCCAAACGATGGGGCTCAGTTTATTCAATCGGGAGAGGTAAGTGAGGACTTTATGTAAACTTATTCCCTCATATAGATAGATCAAAAGATGAAGGGCTTTCTTCACCATTGTTTTTCAGCCAGGCCCAGGCCGGCCATAGAAAAAGCCCATATCGCTGGACCTCAAACAGCCCAGCATTAGTCGATCTCGATCTCCCCCGTGTATCCCTTCGGCCTCCGACTCCCCTCCCGTCTCCTCGCGCCGCCGCCGCCGCCGCCGAGCAGCGCCGATCCCCACCCACCCCGGCGGGCAAGCGGCGCCGGCGTCGTCCTGCTCCCCACACCCAGCCGCCGGTGGGCACACGCACGTACGCACATACTCCTCCTCATGCCTCTCCTCCCATACCCCTTTTTCTCCTCGCGTTAACCCGCCGAGCGGCCGAGGGAGGGGCCGACGCGGCGAGCAGGGCGGCGCGGGCGGCAGTCGTCAGGCATCGCCTCGCCTCGCTCCCTTTCTCCTCGCATGCTCGCCCCCCTCTCCGTCGTCGGCTGGTCGCTCCTACCGTGTGTGTACGCCTGTCTAGATTTGATCCCGCTGCTTGCTTGCATGTGAGATGTGAACTTACTCATCTAGATGTGAGATGTGAACTTACTTCATGTTGATTATTAGTATTGTTGATTTTGGACTGATGGTCATGCTCCGGCTGAAAATACTAGCAGTTTTTGTTTTTTTTTTCTTTTGGATGGCAATAATATCTCTTGACTGAATATTGTTATTATTTGAGATGTGAAATGTACCTATTGAGTTTGTTGTTCCTGACAGCGGGGATGGAGAATCCATGGGGGGCGATGGGAGAAAACTATGCCCCGTTGCATTTCGCAGGGGCGGGAACGTGTTGCCATCCCTAGCTTCTCTTCTATATCTGGAAAAGCTAAATCTTTGCCTAACCCAACTACTACTATTAGCTGTTTGTTTCCAAGGAGGTTCTTTTCGGGTGGGGGATTAGTTTGGCTGATCCGCCATGGCCATGCCCGCACGTTAAGTTAGCCTCTGAGTCTCGAGGTGAGCTTTCACCTGCGTCTGGTGGACATGCCCGAATCTGTTTTTGATGCGCTGGTTCAGGCCTGAATTTGTTGTAATAATCTTGGATAATAACGCCATGGTGGAATTGATGCATTTTTTTGTGAGCTTTAGTAAGCATAAGTTGCTGCTGCTGCTGCTGATGCTATATGGCCATTCAAATATGCAATTGCAGTGCTGATTGAAGTAGAACCTTTTTGGAATACTTAACTGTTTATCGTCGATCAGCATGGCCGGACTAAACACTGTTCCTTTTCATATGTACTGTTTGTTTGTCTCCTGGTTTTGAATTTCAGCTTACAATTCAAATTGTTTACAAATCAGTGGTAAACCATTATTCACTTGTGTTGTCTTAATGTGAATACCTGTATGCATTTTTCGCCAACTGAAATTGTCCCCTGTCTCGCTTGTTATTTTGCTGCAGAGAGAGATCCTAGCAACTATGGTGATCCCTCCACCGGAAAGGGCGGCTAGGATCACGCGCTTTCTGAAGCCCTACCTTCTGAGGATGCATTTCTCGAACAAGTATGTATCCGCTCAGGTGGTTCACACCCCAACGGCGACGGTCGCCTGTTCCGCGAGCTCGCAGGAGAAGCTGCTGAGGCCGAACATGGAGTCCACTCGCGATGTCGCTGCCGCTGCCAAGATCGGTAAGCTGCTCGGCGAGCGGCTGCTGCAGAAGGGCATACCCGCTGTGTGCATCCACATGAAGAGAGAGCAGAAGTACCATGGGAAGGTCAGGGCTGTCATTGACTCTGTTAGAGAAGCTGGAGTCAAGCTGTTGTAGTCTCTAAAACAGTAGAATCTTTTATTAAAATTTCTGCAAGCTTGTTCCTCTGAATCTCAGGCAAAATCTGAAAGATGTCGGATCAGACAGGAAATTTTCATTTCGGTATTGAGGGCTAGATGGCCTATGTGGAGATGTTCCTGGTGAATAAAGGATTTTGTACTATTGACTACTGGGACAAAAAAAAGTTATTTTATCATCGGTAACTTTACTCATATGCTCCCTTGAAAGAGTTTTCGTAATTATTGGCAAAGTTGTACTTACAATTTAGTGAGCACGGATCATGAAAGATATGTAGGAGCAACTCATCATTTAGTGTTACGAAGGAGCTTGCGATTCAATTTCAATGTTATCATCAAATAGTGTTATGGATGTTGATACCGGAGACTTTTGTATCTTAATTCTGATATGTTCGAATTCATGTGATGATGTGCATTGGTAGGAAGCGGTCACTGAACCATTGGCACAAGATGGTGATGTTCTCATCTGAGAAGCAAAGCTGAGCCTGCTTCTGGTTGAACGTTTTTGTTGTTGTTGCTGCTGCGGCGGAGAGCGTGAACATTTAGTTGGCAAGGACACGTTTGCTGGTTTTCCGCATGGACATGATTGGAATGAATTATTATTCCAATGATGTTGCGAGCGAATAGAAGAAGCATTATAACCAATGGGCACGTTTAGTTGGACGATGTTGCAAGCAAATACATGAGAAATAGTATTAGTACAATTCATGGCCACGTTTAGTTTGGCATGCGTCGCTGCTTGGCATCTTCTCCCATCTTCTGTAAAAGGTTTTTGAATGGCCGAAAACAACAACCAAGCGAGGTATCGCGGTCGCATCGCACGCACGTCGTCGTCCCGATTTCCTGCACTAGACGCGCCGCGCGGCGGCCCTACTTGATTCGCTTCAGCATTTTCCTTTTTCCGATGGCCGTCGGCGGGCGAGGGGGCGGCCGGTTGCGGCCTGTCCAGATGCAGATGCAGCAGCGTCTTCGCCGGCGCGGGCCCGCGGCTGTGTCCTGTCCTCCCGTCGATGGCGACCCGACAAAAACGCCCGCGTCGCGTCGATTCGATTCGATTCGATCGCCGTCCGCCGTGATTTCCATTCCCTCGGCGCGTCACCAATTAGCGCCGTGGATTTTCCTGCGGAACGCTGTGCTGCTAGCCTGCTACATTCCTAACATCCACGGCCTTTACTTCCGCTGCTGCTACATTCCTTAATCTTCAGATGGCCTTAGAGCAAGTTTAATAGCGTAGCCAACTACTAACTCCAAATCATCTATAACCAATATAATAGCCAATTCATATAATAGTTGCTTACTATCCTATTAATACCTGGTCCTACCTGTCATACACATAGTACGCTTTGGAGTCCGTGCTGCAGCTGGCTACAGATCTGTAGCCCGCTGATCTTATTTCTCTTCCTTTATATCTTTAAATTATGTTTATAGTTGGCTTATAGCCTGTTATTGTACCTGATCTTACTTCCACTGCTGCTAGTCTGCTACATTCCTTTAGGCTATGTTCTCAATCCATGCGGTTGGAAAATAATCTCTCACACATAAAATAGAACGACTTATTAGCACTTAACTAATTAAGAGTTATTTTTTAAAAGGATAAATTAATATGATTTTTTAAAGCACTTTCCGCAAAAATTCTTTTTTTAAAAAAAAACACAGCGTTTAGCAGTTTGGAAAAAGTACGTACGAAAAACGAGTAAATGAGTTGAGAACTTGGAAAAGAAAAACACAGCCTTAGGGCAAGTACAACCGTGTAGACAGCTTGCTGTCTTTTTACACAGATAGACAGCTTAAACAGACGGCTTATATAATGGGTTGTTGGTTTGGCTGTCCGTAGAGTGTTTAATTCATCCTTTGACACACAAATCATGATGATCTAGTGTATAATTGATCTTTGTAGTTATTTTGTTGCATACATAAGACAATGCATAGTACATTTAAATATTCCGCGCGCGAGAGAGCTGATCCCACGCAGCTGATCCCGCACTTCCGTCGCCTCCCCGCATCGCGTCGTACAACGGGCTTCATCGCCGTCGCGTCGCCTGGGAGCACGCGCTGGCATCGTCGACGAACGAGACGACGGATGGGTCGAAGCTAGCACCGTGGGGGGTGTTTTTTGCAAAAAAGCAGTGCATGTCGACGGGTCTCGCTAGAGGTGGCCAAATGGGCCGGGCCAAACGGGCGGCCCGGGGCACGGCCGAACCTGTAGCAGGCACGGCCCGGCACGGCCTGCTACAGTAACGGGCCGTGCCGGCACGGCACGAGTAGCCGTGCCGTGCTTGGGCCGCTGGCCGAGCCCGCGGGCCGGCACGGCACGGCACGGCTACTGTAGCGGGCCGGCACGGCACGGCCCGCGGCACGCAACGGCACGGCACGCCGGCGGCCCGTCAGGCGCGGACAGGGCGGGCGGCGGTCGAATGGGAAGGCGCCACGTGGCACTAACGGCTATTTGACCGTTCAAATTTGAAAATAACCGTTGGGAGGCTAAAAAATTCATAAAAATTTCGAAAAAATTCCAAAAAATCTCAAATTTCGCCCTATAAATAGGGCATGAACCCCAGCCATTTCTCCTCATCCCACACTCCTCATCTTGTGCTCTCAAGTGTTTTAAGTGCTCTCTTTGTTCTCAAGTGTGCATTTTTTTTGATTTTGACAAAATTTGCTCAAATTTTGTCAAAAATCAAAATTAGTTTCGTAGTTCAACAGTTTGATCGCAGAGGTTTGAAGAGCTCGCAGTTGGAAAGATGTAAGTAATATTTAAATTTGTGTATTATTTGTATTGTGTTTGTGAATTCAATAAATATTCGAAAATTTGTTTATGTCGGTTTAAATTTTCAGAATGGATCCGAACTTTCCATACCAGTCGCCGTCGTTCACCTTGGGTGATTTCGACCCCAACTACATGTCGGGGTTTGACGGTACCTCCGGATCGGCTCCAACTCCACCATCTGTGGAGGAGGTACCGGTTCATACGGCTGTCGTTGAGGAGGTACCGGTTCAGGCGGAGACAGCTTCGGAAGGATTTTCCGGAACCGCGAGCGGAAGTGTTTCGACACACACCGGCTCGAAGAGATCGAGAACCTCCGGTGTGTGGCAAAGCTTCGACGAGATAAAGGAAACATGCCCCGACGGAAGGGAGGTATCGAAAGCCCGTTGTAGAATATGTAGGCAAATTTTATCTGCTCGTTCTTCTGGTGGTACAGGTCACCTCAAGCGCCATGCGGAGTCGTGTGCCAAGAAGCAAGGAATACAACTCCGGCAGCAGCAACTTATGGTAAACCCAGACGGTACGGTACACAGTTGGGAGTACGATCCCATGGTTGCTCGGGAATCTCTTGTCCGGTTAATCGCCAGGCAAGATTTACCCCTGAACTTTGGGGAGTCCCTTGCTTTTGAACATTACATTCAGCAATCTCATAACCCTAGGTTTAAAGCTGTGAGTAGGCAAACATCAACTAGAGATTTAGAGAATGTTTATCACAAGGAAGCAACTGCACTTAAGGAACTGTTTAGTACATGTACTTTCTCTGTTAGTGTTACTTCAGATATATGGAGTAGTAGAGCTAGAGAGGATTATCTTAGCGTAGTTGTTCATTTTGTTGATGATGATTGGCAATTACAAAAGAGAGTTTTAGGGCTTAGGTTAATAGATGTCTCACATACAGGAGAAAACATAGCTGAAAGAATTAGGGAAGTAATTAATGAATTTAATCTTGCTGATAAAATATTTGCTGTCACCCTAGATAATGCATCTGCTAATTCTAGGGCTATTGAAATATTGCAACCTTTATTTTGTGTGTATGCTCAATCTTTTCTACTCCATCAGCGTTGTGCATGTCATATAATTAATTTGATTGTTAAGACTGGCATGAAGAGGGTAGGTGACCACATCGATGCTGTTCGTCAAGCAATCGCGTGGTTAACTGCTTCTAACCCGCGGATTGCTGCATGGAAGAGGTTTTGCAATGCGGCCGGTGTGAAAGCTCGTAAGTTTGCCACCGATGCAGAGCATCGGTGGAATGCAACGTATTTAATGTTAAAAGTTGTTTTACCTTATAGTAGTTTACTTTCTGATTTTGTTCAGTCACGTGGTGGCCCAAGAAACAGTGACGGGTCTTCAGTACTGAACGAGCATGTTTGGGCAATTGTCCAAAAATTTTACCAATTTCTAGAAACTTTTTATGATTGTACTCTAACTTTGTCACAAGTTTATTATCCAACTGCTAATATAATTTTGCACAACCTTCTTGAAATTGCTACTTTATTTAAAGAATACGAAAATGATGACGTTCTAACTGAACCTGTCTTTCACATGAAACAAAAATATTTGAAATATTGGAAAAATATACCTATGTTGTATGCTCTTGCTTTTGTTTTAGATCCTAGGTGTAAATTAAGGGGATTGTCTGCTATTTTATCACTTGTTGGAGATACTATAGGTGTAGATTATAGTTCTTTTTATACTGAGGTTAGACGTAAATTATATGAGGTTTTTGGAAGATATGAAGTAAAGTTTCAGGAAGTTCGCCAGCAGAGACCCCCTCCTATCCCCACTACAGGTAAGAAGAAGATACAGTGGGGTAGGATTTGGGGTGGATCGTCTTCAAGTTCAATCCAAGGTGGTGGCAGTTCGTCGGCTACAAGTGGAGACGCCTCTTCGCATGTTGTGGCCGAAGAGTTGTCCGGTTATTTGGACAGCGACGCCATCCACCACGAAGCACAAGATTTCAACGTCCTCGGGTGGTGGAATGACCACAAGATAACATATCCTGTGCTTTCAAAACTAGCACGGGATGTGTTGACGGTGCCCGTGTCGACGGTGTCCTCCGAATCGGCCTTCAGTCTATGCGGCCGAATCATCGAAGACCGGAGGACGACTCTGCGCAGCGACCACGTCGAAATGCTACTAAGCGTTAAAGACTGGGAGCTTGCTCGACAACATGCCCAATACACTGCGGACAACCAAGAATTGGCCGCCCAGTTCGAGCAACTCTACCTGGATCCAGACCAACCCCAGTAGAATTTTGTTAGAAGTAGTTCTGACCTTTGAGCTGTACTCTTTTCTTTGTCATGGTTTTCTCATTTTCCCCTATGAGTTTTTACATGACAAAGTTTTTAACGAGGCAGCATGTATCATTGTATCCTGTAATGATATAAACATCAATAAAGGTCATTACTATTTTTAACAAATTCTTTTGCAATATTTTCGCAAGTGTGGATTTATCTTTAAATTATTTCAAAATAATGAATCACAATCTATATTTTTAAATTTTTCAACACAACAAAAAAATACCATTTTTTCTTTTTTTTAACATTAGCAAATCATTACTTTTTTAAAAAACTTTTATTTCCATTTTTTAAATACCATTTTTTCATTTTTTAACATTAGTAAATCATTACTTTTTTTTAAACATTTTATTTCCATTTTTAATTTTTTTTTCCTTATACATTTCCTTTGCTTTTTTTTTTAAAAAAAAACACTGTGCACTGCAGGCTGGCGGGCTGGCGGCCTGCCTTCACGGGCCGCCGTGCCCCGAACGGCCCGTGGGCCGCGGGCGTGCCGTGCCGGCACGGGCACGGCCCGGCCATCCACGGGCCGTGCTTGGGCCGGCGGCTCGGCACGTGGGCCGGCACGGCACGGCCCGTTTCATCAGCCGTGCCTAACGGGCCGTGCCGGAACCGTGCCCGTGCCGGAACCGTGCCCGTGCCGGGCCGGGCCGTGCCGCCCGTTTGGACACCTATAGGTCTCGCCGACCCGTTGTACTTGCCCTTAATATGGCCAGCTGCACAGGTTGAGGTTGGACTCAGTGACGAAGCTAGCGGCATTACCGAGCCTGAGTGACTAATACTTTTTACCGCGATTGACCGATTTAAACATCGATGGCACTCAGCAATGGACGTGCGAAAAAGAGGAAATGAGTTGAAAACTTGAAAAAAAAACACAGCCTTAATCTTAACATGGCCAGCTGCACAGGTTGAGGTTTTTTTTTTTAAAAAAACACATCAACTTTATTAAGCAAGAGCAGAATTAGAGGATAAACCCCAATACATAACCAAGGATAAAAACTGAAAGCAAAAGAGCCACCCCTGAGAAGGGAGGGTTAACTGAACTACGGAAACAATCTTCCTGAAATAACCTAACATTAGAAAAATGAGCAAGTCGGCAGGGATCTGCGACGAAGCCGCGACGACCGCTACCCTGGGCCTCAAAAGATGTGCACTCCGCTTGACAAACCGTTGATCCCCATCGGCTGCCTCCACGGAAACGGCACAAGACTGAGGTTTGTTGTTGAGCTGTAGATTTTGGTGTGTGCGTCACCGGACTTAGCGAAGGATCCCCACGAGGCTCATCATTGAATCTGAGGAGCTCTAACATCAACCCTGTCAACCGAAATTGTGCAGGTGGTCCGAGCTCAACCCGAATGATAAATCCAGCATGGTTTCTTCTGTTAGAGAACAATAGGAAGGGTGAATCCGAAGAGTAGCCAACCTTCAACGATGGAGCACTTGAATGCTGCAAATCAACTTCTGTCTTGCTGAGATGATGGAGATGGTTGAGAAAGAGATGGCGTTACCGAGCTATAAGTGACTAATACTTTTTACCGCGATTGACCGATTTTTACAAACATTGATGGCATTCAGCAATGGAGATGGCGATAATGGAGCCCGAGTGGCTGCCCGACCTGCCGGGAGCTTGCCCAGTCACTGGTTGAACTTCCATTATCATAACATTATTGCTACTTTGGATATGTTCACATTATTACCACTTTTAACCCTACCACATCCACATGTCCATTTTATTGTCACTTTTTAACCCACCTATTTTAGGTAAGGTTTGCCAATGATGCGTTATCAAAATTTAGTGGTTCCATAGATTCTCTCATAAAGACACTACTAGTAAAGTTTAAAAGGATATTAAACTAAATGCACATTCATCTATATATAAAAAAAAATTGATAAGGCTGATTCTAGCAACGAAACAAACAAGCCCTTTCTCCTGGTTATTTTACGCGGGCGGTGGTGATGGTCACAATGCATAATAAAAAGTGCTCATTTAGTGTTGATAATTTTCGATATTTAAGTGTTATGGGGTGGCCAAATTGTATTCATCTGAAGTATAGTTAATGTTATCGTGAAGGAGCTGTTTCGGCTAAAATACGCAAACAACAAGGGAGATAAGATTGAATTTTTATTCATGCCGCAAGTCAACTCAATCTCTACCTTACATAGACTAATTAAACACCCCCATCACCTATCAAAACCGAACAAGAGCACCAACTCAACTTCCCCCCTTCAACGCAAACGCGACTCACCACCATAAACTCCCTCCGTTTCAATTTAGTTACTCCTGCGTACTACCATTCGATCAACTTTTAGATACAACACAGAGATATAGCAAGGCTGTGTTTAGATCCAAAGTTTGGATCCAAACTTCAGTCATTTTCTATCACATCAACCTATCATACACACCTAACTTTTCAGTCACATTATATCTAATTTCAACCAAAAGCCAAACTTTGCGCCGATCTAAATCAAGCAACAAAAGAAACAACCCCTGTACATTACGGTCACAGGTGTTAATGCATTTATGAGGAGCAAACAGGAAACATTTTAGTAAAAAGTGCTTAGAAATTTAAAATTATAATAATAACTAGTATTTTAAACAAGTAATTTGAAATGGAGAGAATAAAGAGAAATGCTACGTGGTCTTCGTTTTTCTAGGGAAGATAAAGCGATGAAAAAAAATCATTAACACATGATTAATCTAATTTTAATTATTACAAACTTAAATAAAACTATTTGATATTTTAAAAGAACTTCTACACAGAAAATTTTCACGTTGCAATATATTCTTTCCGTCCAACAATATAAGAGATTTTAGGTGGATGTAAAACACACTAGTAATACGAATCTGAATATGGTACTAGGATATATCACATCCATCTAAAATCTCTTATATATTGGGATGAAGGGAGTATCGTTTAGCAGCTTAAAAAACGTAAATGTACTCATCGGTTAGCTTATATAAAAAGCCACCAATAATAAGGCATCACCAATTTATATGGCAAATGTGATCAATATAGACAGAATCTATGTAAATAGATTTTAACTATAGCAATCCCAACATTGTATATAGACACGAAGTAATATTATCTGAAGAGAGAAGTAGACATAGATAATACTACTATTTTTTTTATTCAATATATGTATATAGGTATCTTTGGTTGTTTTTTATAGGAACTAATTACACAACGTGAATAAAATATTATAATTTACCTATGGATCACAATGTGATGCCCTCACTTCCTCACAGTGGACAAAGACAAACCAGAGACGCTCATCATCATCGGTTTACTCACGTTGGCGTGGTGGACCACGTCCACCGACCCGCAAACCGCTGCATAGCCAGACCACGACTCGACCCGTCCACCGTCTCCGCGGCGCGTCGCGTCGCCGACAGCCCGAACCCGCGGCGACGTTTCCCTCGACCCGTCACGTGCTTTCCCACGCCACGTGGCACCCCACCAAAAAATATTTTATAAAAAATAATAAAATCGAGCCCCCTCCCCCCCGGTCTCGCCTCTTTAAATGCGCGTCCGCCTCCGCCTCCCTCCTCCCCACACAGAGCTCACAAGCCCAAGTCGCGTCGCACCGAAGCAGAGTAGAGAAGGAGAGGAGCGGAGCGCCATCAGCCGTCCGATCGAGTGATCCGATGGCTCTCGCTCTCTCCACCTCTGCTGCTGCTGCCGCTGCCGCCGCGGCGCGGGCGCTCGCGGCGAGGGTGACGACGACGAGGGGTTACGCCGCGTCGGCGGCGTCGTCGGCGATGAGGCGGGCGGCGGCGGCGGTGGAAGGGAAGGGCGCTGCGGGGATGACGCAGGCGAAGGACGGGTCGTCGTCGTCGGCGGCGAGGGAGGTGTCGTGGGTGCCCGACCCCGTGACGGGCCACTACCGGCCCTCCAACTTCGCCGGCGGCGCCGACGCCGCCGACCTCCGCGCCGCCCACCTCGCCCGCAGCTACGCCCGCGCGTGATGCGCGCGACCTCGCCGTCGTCCGACCGACGACGACGCCATCCATCCATATATATCTGCTCCGCGTCAACTACTCATCACCTCTCGACCGCGCCGCGCCGCACGCCGCTCCGCCTCCGCGTGCACCTGAACGACGACGACGACGCATCATCGCCGGGCGGCGGATCGGCCGGCGGCGGCGGCGGCATCCCTACCGTTTCCTTGCTGCGTGTGGGCTGGATGCTCTGCTCGTGTGCTGGTTCTTCGTGCACCTCTCATGTAACAGCGAGCAGGGCCTCACTCTACTACTACTGTTTTTGTTTTTTAACTTTCACGGTTTCACCACGTACCCGAGTGTGATGGTTTTAATGGAACAAGTAATAAATCAGTTTAATTTCCTTTCAATTTCATCTGCTTCACGTCAAATTTGTGTTGAATCATTTTAAACATTACGGACATTACTGTGCATATATCAAACGATGCCTGAATCTGGACATTTTGCGGTGTCGATGTAACATTTCGCAATCGCCATCTTGAGCTTTGGCACGAGGAGATTTCATTTCGAGCTGCAAACTTGAACTCGTTTTCTTCTCTCTCGGCTCAGCTGGGCCGCCGGGGCCACTAGTAACCACTAGTAAACCAGTGCACCCTCGCGCGTGATCCTGGTGCCACGTTGCTAGTGATCTGGACACGTGGACGGCGGAGGGCTCCAGCATGTGGGCGCATCACGGCGCGAAGTTAGGTCAAGCTGTCGCCGTCCATGAACGAGCCTTATCACCTTCGCTTCGTTTTTTTTTTCTTCTCTTTACAAGGCCATCGTCATCCGCGCGGGTGATGGGGACGGCCATCTTTTGTGTGGGTAGGTCATGAATAATTTTAGGGTAGGGGGAGGGCTCAATTCCCTAGAGGAGTCAGTACGATATGATTGTAGGCAAAGAATCCAGGGACAGGTTGTTTATATATGCGCACATGATACTTGCTCTACAAAATTGATGGAGGATGGAATCGTGGAAAGTACTAGGGAATTCCGTATTCTTTGTCGTAAGACGAACGCAAAGTCGCAAACTTTGGCTTTTGCAAGGATGAGAATGCGATCTTTTTTAAGTTTTCTAAAACTTTTAAATTTTTTATATTCAAATATGAACCTTTCAACCACACCAGCCAAATTTATGTGGCGAAACAATGCTGACATAGACTAACGTAACAGTGTTATTTTGCCATGCCAGCATGGTTGACATAGCTATATTATTTTACCACATCATGCGGGGCATGGCTAAAAAGTTTAGATTTCAGAAATAAGTTTAAGATGATTTATTTTGTGAAATTAAAAAGGTTTTAAAAATAATAAAAATTCTGAGAATGCGCTATGTTTCTGGTTGTACACGAATGAACAGTACAACTTGACTTTAACACAAACAGTACAGTGTAGCGGTAGAGTCGTGATTGTATAGGTCAATTCCTGATACCCATAAATTGCAGAAAATACTGACATCATAGATTTATTGTAGCAATTTCAAATGATGCAACCAAAAGGATACGTAGTATTTTTTTTTTCCTCTGTGGAACCTAACCCACGAGACAAATCATATGTAGGCAGTTCATGTCATTCATGGAAACCATGCCAGAGAATGAAAACCTCTTTCCAGACAGTCATAATTTAAGCAGATCAGTATAGTGCACCCACCAAATTCAATTCCTACTATCCATAATCACACATACAATTAAGCTTAACCAGAAATTTAAGTGATACCATGGATTTATCATAGGCATCCATCAATAATAATTTAGTACGATTTTCACAGGGATTGCTCAGCAAAAAATGGCCATGTTATGGTCTAGTAGAATTTCACATGATGCAACAATGCAAAAAGTATTTTCCCTTTTTGTAACTTAATCCACATTGGCATATCATATATAGGCAGTTCATGTAGGGTATCATTCATTGAAATCATTGCAATTTCTGCAACCCGGTGGCCAGAGAATGCATAATATAAGCAGATCAGCACAAGTTTTACCTTGTTGATGACAACCTCTGTCTGACTTTCCGGCAATCAGATTACAATAAGGCAATGTCAGGACACCACCTAGATGTATCAGACGTAAAATAGACACACAATCTAATCTCACATTTGCTGGAATATGGAAAAGATCCGCGGCTGATACATCAACAACATGCAGGCTCTCAGAATTCCAGGCTTCCAGCTTTGGTTGCAGACAACGCGGAGGAAAGAGGCATACAAGACAACAAGCGCAGGGGATATTAGCTACGCCAATCACCCAGATTTGAATAGCAAGACGGCTTTAGAATCGATGTAAAAATACACAAAGTAGTTCGTCTCGTGTGTTACGTAGGACCCTGCACCAGGCAAAAAGGCTTGGGTGAAATTGCAGGGCATAACATTCAATACGCATCAAATGGAAACAAGGGCATAAATTCATTACTAAAGTTGTGAAGTAGATTATGTAACCAGCGAAATGGAGCTGTTTCAGATCAAGGATATTTTGTCCTTTTGGAATTGGTTGCATACAAGAGCATCTTAGAGAGAACAGAGAAACCAGGAGATCAGATAAAGTAGTTGAGTACAGATTTATATTTGCCAACCATTTCAGAAATCGACACACCATAGCAACATTAAATACCTGAATGCACCACAAACCTACTGAAGACGGCTTATAATACAATGACATAATAGAAATAGGAAGAATGGAAAAATAGCTCAGTTTTAAGTTAAGTGTTCTACAATTTCAGCAGTTAGGTACTTAGGTTTTCCCAATCATGCTGAGAAGTCAGCCAACTCCCATGATCACATCTCCCATAAACCAACCAAAGGAATAGGATAAAAAGTGAATTCAATTCCATTATAGTGTTTTTCATCTTGGCTTTTCATTACCAAGCAAGCATAAGCCATAAGGTCAATGAATTCCAGAGAATAATACAAGCTTTGGAGGCTAACCCCTCGGATCATGAGCCATAGAAACTGAGACCCCACCTTTTCTTTTTCTTATAGATTAACCAACAGGAACCAAACTAATCCATAACAGACCGGACTAGTTACACTGTGGTATTTCATATCACACAAGCCTTGAGAAGTTGAGGCCATCTAGATAGTCGGCAAAGACTAAAACTATCCATGGTTTACAAAAATGGTATGTACACGCTCCACAATAGCAAACAAGATGGCAGATAAGTGTCAGCTAAGGATAAAAGATAAAATATAATGAACAATTCCACCCGTCATGTCTACGGATGGCTGGATGCTAACTCTCTTCTATTTAACAAATCCAATTTACTAAGGGAAAATTTTAACCTCCTACAAGGTTTGAGAAGCGATGGAAGGTAGGATTTCTCTCATGTTACTGGAGTCAATTAGAAAGTAGAAACACTTGAAAATTAACACAGCTTGTAAAATTAAACTAGTATGTCATGTTCAAATACTCCGATGGGCATCAGTTTGAGATTTGCCACCTATTATCATGTTGAGTTCAATAAGACTATCATGGGTTCATCAGTACATACTCCCTTCGTCCCATAATATAAGGGATTTGCCCCTTCTAGTTATCCCACAATATAAGGGATTTTGGTATACTACTTGTCATGTCTATCAACTCCAATTCAAATTTCTACCTACTTTAACCCCCCACTACCCACTCACCATAAGCAAACCTCATTTAATAGAGGTATTCTAGTATTTGCATGCTATCCTTAATCTTACCCAAAAAGGAATAATCCCTTATATTATGGGATGGAGGGAGTATAATATTACAACTAAATAAAATATATACGAAAATGCTAGATTAACCGAAGCAGTAACAGGATTAAAGTCCTATGTTTTCATGATACACTTAGCCCTTTTCCGGATGCGAGGAAAGCTAACAAAAGTCAATCATTCATGGTATAGTTTCATAGTTACCTTCTTGGTCACTATATCCTTTTGTTAGAAAAAGAAAGTTGAAGTGCTGATTCAGTTAAAATAACAGGGGGTAAAAATGAGGGAAAACCTAATATGAGAAAATGAACTAGTTTGCACAAGAGAAGCAGTTAAGATATAGTGACAACACTATTATACTGTGCCAATTCCAACTGTTATAGATTTATGTGGATGGTACCTAAAACAAAGTGTGTATCAGACTATCAGTGTACCACATTGAACGAATGATCTTGAAAATTTCCGGTTGCCATAATTGTTTGGCATTATTTAACATACTGAATAAGCACAAGCTATAACTAAAAAAGAATGCTGCAAGCGCCAGATGTGCAACTACAGGAAAAATATGAACACTAGTGCTGAAGCAGAACTGAAATGGTATGATACTTGTTTCAGGACCCACTCAAGTGCAAGAGAGAAATTATAATAAATGTGCTGAAGAGTGGCAGATATGTCTGAGAATGTCAATGCACTTCTTGGATATGGTATTAAATCTTTTTTCACCTATCCTAAATCCAAGTTCACAATTTGGCCGAGCTAATTGCATCAGAGATCTTTAAACTGTCTACAATGGGATATGCAGTGTAAACCTTCCAGATGATATGTTACCATGTGACATGGCACTTGACTTTTTTGGTGACATGGTATGTCGAGTGAGTTTATTTACATAACATGGCATACTGTGTTTGTATTGTGGATCTAAGCCTGATCGGTATGGCAAAGTGAAGCACACGTTATTGATTAATAACTAAATAAACAAAGGAACCAGGTGCAATTTACTCCAGCTTAGTTTTATACACAGGAAAAGTAGAACATTAATTCGAAATCTGTGAGCTGAAAAAACACAATAAGTTGACTACTGGCATTGCTAGGTTGGATACTTGGATTCAATCAATACCACCATGCTCTTTATCTGTTGACATTTGACAAACAGACCGAGTCAAGCTTCGAGAAATATTATATTGCTTTTTAAAATAAACATTAAAATAAAATTTGAGCCCTTTAAGCCAGGAATCACACTACTCTCTACAGTCCACACACTACTGTTGTATGCCCTAGTGCTAACTTGGCTTGCCTTAACCAAAACACAAGGAGGAAGATTTCACGAGGGTTGTTTCTTTGTCATTATCGACCAAACACACATCGACTTCTATACCATTCGGTAGCCTACAAGCTCTAGAGCACATGGAATTGTGCCGCGGATACCCCAATCAACAGGAGAGGACAAGACATAAATCACCAGATGATGCGGTACCAAAGAAATTTCCAGCAAGAAGAGGGGGAGGCGAGAGAGAGAGAGAGAGGAGTACCGAAGTTGCGGCCGACGATGCAGTGCCAGGTAGGGCCGTGGTTCTTGTCGAACTCCTTCTTGATGTACTCCGCGATGTCCTTCTCCATGGTGTGCTTCTCGAACGCCTAGCGAACCAAAAAACACAAAAACCATTTCACATCGCAAACCGAGCAATCCGAATCAGGGAACAAGGGAATCGAGAGGAGGGAGGTGCGGGGGATCGAGTGGTTACGACGCGGGCGATGTCGAAGGCCTCCTGGCGCATCTCCTCCTTCATGTCGGCGCTCTTGAGCTGGATCTTGTGCCCCGCGGCGGCGGCGGCGCCAGGAGGCGGGGAGCCCGCGGCGGCCGGCTTGCGGTCGACGTCGGAGGAGGCCCTCAGCGCCGCGCCGCCCCCGCCGCCCCCGGCCAAGCGCCTGGTGGCCTCGTCGGACATTGCGGGTGAATCTCTCCTGGGGTAGCGGGGGGTGGTGGTGGTCGGGATGCTTGTTGGGGGTGAAGTGGAGAAATTCTCCTCCGATCCCCTCTCTCCTCTTTTTGAAAAGGGTAGGGATTGTGGTGGTCGGGGAGACGAGACCGTGGGCGTGGGCGTACCAGCGGAGTGCAGGCGCGGCGGGGGTGGGGGTTCAAGGGGAAGGGGGGAGGGCGAGCCAATTCCTCCACTTCCAGTTCCAGCTCGAAAATGGGCAGTCTCTAGGGCAGTGCTACCGTCGTCGAGAAAAAATTGGACATTTGGACACGCTTAAAACGTGATTTCGTTGGAATATTATTCTCAGAACACGATTCGATAAAATGTCAACATGAAGCGTGTGCCTACTGTCACTTTGTCATTTTCGCCGTTTTATTCATTCCCAAATAGATTTTCGCTCCTCCACCCGATGATGAGACGGAATTGCCCCTTCGGTCGGATGTTGAGGAGGAGAAATCCTCCCGCTAGCTACGAGAGGCCACTAGATGGACGTACAAATGGCGACCGCGGTACATCCGCTGCCGCATCAGCAATAGCAGAAGGCGGTCAACCTGGTCCGCACCTTCACCAAGCTACTCCGCCGTAGGTGGCGCCGGATGTGGCGAAGGATTCGACAAACTCCACCTCTCTGGCCTCATTCCCACCGCTTCCTCACCGTCCTCCGCCACACCATGGAGTCGATTCGGTCATTCTTGTGGTCAAGCTAACTCCAACTTGTTGCCAACGACGCCCGGCTTGCTGACGTCCTCGAACCCTATTGGACGCCCAACGGAGTTAGTCATGCACTAAAAGATCTTGCATCGTAGTCTTACTCTTACATTATGAGTTTATGACCAATGCATGCCCCATGTCTCTACACTCTATTCTAGCCTTCTAAGTCTCTAACTATTAGCCTTTGGATCATAAGATTGAAAAAAACGGAGGAATAGAAAAAATATAGGATTCTGATAGGAATACAAGTGTAAAACAGATGATTGCAAAACACAGGAAAAACATAGAAATGATCGTTTGGAAAAACAGAAGAATTGGATCGGAGAGATAGGCTCAGAAAATTTTCCAAGAGATCGGAGCTTTTGCTAAGTTTCCTCCAAAATCTACATGCAATGAGTTATTCCATAGGAATTTTATAAGATTTGTAAAGCTTGAATCCTTTAGATCATAGTGTCAAATAATATTTTTTTTTATAAAATTTGAATAATATAAAATTTTAATATAAATCCTTTTGATTCAAAGGGCCCTTACTTCGTTCCAGGTTCTCCATTCCTCTGCGATCGTAGAGTAGTTGGGTTCTTTACGTCCATTTTGTATCAATCAGGTGTTTAGGATTATCATCCATGTCAACTGTCAAGTACTTCATGCTTGACTTGTACATCTGCTTTCAAGACGATAGTCACCATTCCAAGAAGTCGTCATCCCAAGCTAGGGGAACCATGCCCCATCCACAAGAGTGTCATTATACTTCTTGTCTACGTTAAGTATTCTGTAGAAAAACTCAAGGTCGTTTTCTTAAGATAAATGTTGGGTGAATTCTCGAACCATACTGGACTAGCTTGGATTAAAACCATATTAATTTGCATAAAAAATTTCAAACAAGAGTACCCCATGATGTTTCATTTGCTATCAAATTTAGTTATGCCAAAAACGGACAAGGTTTTTTTTTATGCTACTTAATATTAGTAGGGAAAAAATTTCTTTGCATTGGCCAATAACATAATTAGCATGGAATTGGTGAGCTGTACTAGCTGAATCCCAAAAATGCAGCAGTGAACAATTAGTTATTGTCAAAACATGCCTACTTCTAGCAAACTTTGTGATACTATCTTTAGTATTTTTTAATGGACGCCGTTGTTAACTTATTCAAAACATTTACTCCCTCTGTTTCACAATATAAGTCATTCTATCATTTCCCACGATTCGTTAACATCAATATGAATGTGAGAAATGCTAGAATAATTTATTAACATCAATATGAATGTGGAAAATGCTAGAATGACTTATATTGTGAAACGGAGGAAGTACATAAGTATCATTTATGAGTTGTTTTATCACTAAAAATATTTTAAGCATGCTTTATATCTTATGCATTTGTATAAAATTTTTAAATAAGACGAATGACCAAACACATGTTAAAAATCAACGGCATCATCTATAAAAAAAACAGAGGGAGTATTTATTTTCTCCACTATTTTTTTTTCTAGGCCAGCCTGCAAAACCTGCATTGCGATGGCAACTTGCAAAACCAGGCCAGCGTCCTCTCTGTCCTTGCAATTAGCAAAATGTAACAATGCTTGAATTGAATTTTCTTCGCTTGATTTATTCGAATACCTAGCTTCCACTGAAGTACTAAACAGTCAAATTAACCACATGCCGGTCAGCATACGTATTTACAAACTTTAACAGAACAACACAAACATGCTCGTCTTACGGTCAAACTCTTCGTGGTTACGCTTGCGAAGCCGAAAGAGGGCCGCATGGTTAAATATGCGAAAGAAACTCGGTGTAGAAACCATAAACTACGCTCTACGGTAATACGGTATTCTTCACCTTTTTTTTATTTTCAAATTCTTTTAAAATGCATCTCATATATAAATGCGTACCACTCATAAGTGCTCACTGAGAGCATGTTTTTTTCTTCCACTCCAAACTATAAATTCCTCTTTTTTTTTTCTAGCATCATTTTCAAACTATTTGAAAAGAATTATATAAAAATTTCTTTAAAAAATCAAATAAATCTAATTTTCTGGTTTGTAATAGTCAATACTTAAATTAATTAATCATACGTCTCAAAATGATTTAAATTATATGTTTAAATTCAATTTTTAGAATTTGAATTTTTCAACGAATATGTGTTTGGGTGTGTTTAGTTCACGTCAAAATTGGAAGTTTGGTTGAAATTGGAACGATATGATTGAAAAGTTGAAAGTTTATGTGTGTAGAAAAGTTTTGATGTGATGGAAAAGTTAAAAGTTTTAAAAAAAAGTTTGGAACTAAACAAGCCCTTAATGAGTTATCTCGTTTGTGTGCTGCTGAGGCCCTGTTTAGATGGGACTAAAACTTTTAAGTCCCTATCACATCGGATGTTTGAAAATTAATTATAAATATTAAACGTAGACTATTAATAAAACTCATCCATAATCTTGGACTAATTTGCGAGACGAATCTAATGAGCCTAATTAATCCATGATTAGCCTATGTGATGCTACAGTAAACATTCTCTAATTATAGATTAATTAGGCTTAAAAAATTTGTCTCGTGAATTATCTTTTATTTATGTAATTAGTTTTGTAAGTAGTCTATATTTAATACTCTAAATTAATGTCTAGAGACAGGGAGTCCCTGGACGTAAACACCACCTGAGAATCTCGTCCCTCAGCAAAAACTAGGCCCTCGCGGGCGCAAGGAAGCTCGCGGACTGGCTACCTTTAGTCAAGACTCAAGACCGAGTCCACAGGTCTCCGGGTGTTTACTTATAAATTTGTTTTCTTTGTACAGTTTTCTCCTGTACCCTCGTCGATTTGTTTAGAAGAACAAAAATCTCCTCCCTCCAACCTTAACAAATCACAGCCGAGAGACGAAGTTGCAGAGGACGCACGCAGCAGCAAAGGACGCTCTGCTCGCGGCGGCGGCCAGCGACCTCGTCGGTCGGCTCATCTCCTTCCTCATCAGCAAGTGGCAGGAGCATCGCGCCGGCGACGACGACGGCGCAAGCAGGCTGCAGCGAGCGCTGCTGCGAGCACGCGTCGTCATGGAGGAGGCCGAGGGGAGGCGGGTCACCAGCCCGGCCATGCTGCGGCAGCGCAGGCAGCTGAGGTGGGAGATGTGCCGCGCCGCGTACGCGCTCGACGCGCTGAGGATACGGAACGCCGCGGCGGCGGCGGCGAGCCGCCGTCGTCGTCGCCGGTGCCAGCCGCTGCTGCTCAGCTTGGGCGGCGACGGCGACGCCACGGTCATGGAGAGCCTGGAGGCCGCGCTGGGCGGCGCCAAGGAGCTCGTCGTGCTCCTGGCCGGCTGCCCTCGCCTGAGCCGGCAGCCGTACAGCGCCTACCTGTTCATGGAGCGGTGCATGTTTGGGCGGCAGATGGAGAAGGAGCAGATCGTCGACTTCCTGCTGCGCCCGGCGTGCTCGTCGGCCGGTGACCCGAATCCCGGCGTCCTCCCCGTCGTCGGTGGTCCGGAGGTCGGGAAGCGGACGCTGGTCGAACACGTCTGCATCGACGAGCGGATTAGGCAGTACTTCGCCAAGATCCACCGTCTCAGCAGCGATGATCTGATGGCGGCCGGCGACGACGACGAGCACCGGAGATTCGGCATCGATCCTAGCGCAAGGTCCCTTGTCGTGGTCGACGTCGTCGGCGACGTGGAAGAGGAGCCATGGAGGAGGTTGTGCTCGTCCGTTCGCCGGGAGAACGGGGACGGCAAGGTGGTCATCATCTGCAGGACGGCGGAGCACGCGGCGCGCCTGGGCACGGCGCCGCGGCCGGTCACACTGGACAACCTGCGCCGGCCTGAGCTCTGGTACATGTTCCGCGTCCTCGCGTTCGGCGGCGCCGACCCGGAGGATCGGCCGGAGCTGGTCGCCATCGCCGCGGAGCTCTTCGAGGGCGTCAAGCACTTCGCGATGATCGCCGCCGTGAACGCGCACGCCGCGGCGCTGCGCGCCGACATGACCGCGCGTTCGTGGCGCCGGATCGCGCGGGCGGCCATCGACGCCCACGGCGGCCGCGGCGAGCACGGCCCGGTCAGGGACGAGGACGACTCGTACTACTTGTACAGGCCGTCCATGGACGGTCCGCACTGCCTGTTCTACGGCAGGCGCAAGCTGACGACGTGGACGCCGGCGGCGAGCACGACACCGACGGTGACGATGCAGGACCTGCTCAGCGGCCGCGTGGTGCCCGGCGTGGACACGCCGCGCTTCGACGTGCTGGTGTGGCGATCTCCCATACCACCGCACTGCAGCTACGTAGCAACGTGCGACATGGGAAGAGCGCAGCAGTTCGTCGTGGCTTCTGGCGGCAGGAGGCCATTCGAGAGGAGAAAGCCGAGCGGGAATTTGGATCATGGTGAGTGCCTTAACAAGAAGAGGCGGCCAATGTATAGTGGGGATGGCTAATTGGAGGGCGCGCGCCAGCAAGCACGCCCTCCCGCTCCATTTTTTTTTTTTTGCGATTTTCCTTTTTTTCTGCTTTTTTCTGCTTTTTTTTTAATCCTTAGCATACATGTTTTCTAATATCTGACTTGATAGTTTTCAAATCTAAAGTTGAAAATTTTTAAATCTGAGTTGAAAGTTTATAAAATTTGTCTTACAAGTTGAAAATTTTTAAAGTTTGAGTTGAAAGTATTCAAAATTTAAGTTAAAATTTTAAATTTTATTTCAAAAGTTTTCAATCTGTAAAAAAAAAATCTTTCAGAAAATATCATCATTATCTAGAACTAATCTAGGCCAAGCTGCTCCCCAGAAAACGCGCGCCGCGACACGTGCGCGAGGTAATTTTCCGAGGTACTACAATGGGTCCTAGGCCCTGTTTGGGGAGTTTCTCCCAGCTGCAGCTTTTGGAAAAAGCTGCTTCTGCTAGAAGCAGCCCCAAACAATCCACAGTTTCTAAGAATCTGTAGTTACTGATTCTGAAAAATAAACTAAGAAGCCAGAAGTTGGAGAAACTGGGTTTCAGAGCTTTTCCAGATTCTCAGAAGCTAGCTACCAAACAGCTGCTTCATAAAGCTCCCCAAACATAGCCCTCTTAGCTAGTGTGTGGGCAATTATTTAACATTTGTGTACAAATATTAGAGGAATCACAAGATGTTCCTGCTTCTTGGCACAGATTAGTTTACTAATCTACTTCCGTGTAATTATCGCTCACTAGGTATGAATATGATTGCTCCTACAAAGTAGTTCACGCGCATGAGGACATCATCAGAGAAATCGTAGCTGCTAGTGCTCCACGGTTCATAATATCCATTCTTATTGCTTCACTCGCTCTGTTAAAAAAAAAAAGACAATCTAATATTAGAATGTGATACATTTTAGTACAATGAGTCTAAACACAGAGTATGTCCCAATTTATTATACTACGATATGTCATATTTTAGTATTGGTTGTATTTTTCTTTGGACGGAGGAAGTAGCGGAGTAACGAATATTGAAAAGATATGTCATTGGAGTTGCTTTTTTCTTGGTTTATTCAGATTCTTTTAGAAAGTAGAAACACAGTGGACGTGATCTAATTACTTAAATGTTGGTGGCTTTTGTTTAATTTTGTTTTTTTAACATCGCAAACAAACTGATTCACTCATACATGCTCAAGCACACTCGCTCTTACAAATACACATTTTACTCCTACTAGTAAGGGTTAATTTGATCCATGCCATTACAAATATGGCATATTAAAAAATATCGTTACAATTCACGTTATTGGTCGGATGTTTCCGTCCTACTCCCTTACGTCATCATCCTCACGCTGGAGGAGCAGCGGCGACAGCGCTTCAAAAATATTTCAGCGGCAGCAGCAGCGGTGGCGGCGGCACGGTGCACGCGGGGAGCGGGAGGAGTAGCGGCAGCGGCAGCGTGCCCTTCTCCCATCCTAGCTCTCCGGCGAGCACGACGACTGCCCGAGCGAAGCGAGCCGCCAGCTTCCCCAAATCAGAGAGAAGTCGGGACCATCCATCCTCTGGCCCAAGGTCCTGAGTTCAAATCTCCTATGGAGCGAATTTTAGATTGGGTTATTTGCGGGGCTAAGTTCCCTATCTCAATGGCCGTATATATCCGGTTGGATATAGAGGCCGGGTAGAAAATACTCTTCTCTAAAAAAAACCATCCTCTGGCGGTGGAGCTCAGGTGCGGGGCACGGCGGTGAGTCGCACGGGCACAAGGAGGAGCACAAGGTGGTCTCCATGCTTTGCGACCCGGATGTCTCCGGTGCACGCGCAGCCCGCGCTGCTGCTGTCCAGTGAGATCGATCTAATGCTCGCTTGCTCTCTCTCCTCATCCCAACTTGATTTGATTTAGCTCAGATTGTTGGGTGTTTGCTTGGCTGCTTGTTTCAGTGATTTCAGGAGCAGCGCACCGTCAATGCGACCTTGTTTGCGGGCGTGACCACCACCACCGAGCGCGGTGCTAGAGTATACGGTAGCTAGAGTCATATTAGGATATGATTGGTTTGTTTGGATTTCTTCCATATCTGTAATCCTTCCTTATCTCTTCCCCAATGTACTCCTATATATATCGGCTCCCTGAGGCTCAATACAATGTATCCAATATTCGCATTATTCCCCTCTTCCTATACTATCCAACATAGTATCAGAGCGGACGACCTACGGCCGCCGCTCACCACTTCCGCTGCCGTCGCCCCCGGAGGTGATCTCGCTCCTGGGGGCGGCCACCGTTTTTCGTTTTTTTTTTCATCGTCTTGTTCCACCGCTGCGAGGGACTGATCTCGATCACCTCCGGTGGACGTTTTGTTCGTCGCTGTTCCATCGTGCTGGAGAGATCAATCTCTAGCGTTCTGCGTCGTCGTTCATCTTCATAAACATGCAGCAGCTACCAAACCATCGGCTACCTACATGCAGATCGAATCTGGGCCCTCCCCACCGTCTCCGACGCTGCTTGGGGGCAGGCTGCCGGTTCGTCGTCAACGCCGACTCCACGTCCAGCCGCTGCTACCTCCCCACAATGCGTCTCCCAGCACAGGCGCACAGCTCCTCTCCCTCCCTTATCTCTGTCTGTCTGCATGTGTGTGGATGGATATTCGGGAGAAGGTGAATAGGCTGTGGCCAAGTGAAGGATTTAATCTCCTCGTTGACTTGGTCATGGCTTCCTGCTGGCACGGCTGAGGCTGCAAGGCTGCTGGACTTGGTCTATGGATCGGGACCATGGAGGAACAGAGGATGTGCTACCGTACTGCGCTGCTGCTTGCTGCTGTTATTTTCCTTTTCCGATCAGAGATCGGTTTGCGTCGCCCACCGCCTCGTCGACTTCTACAACCAATCGTCATCGAGCACGCGTCTACACCATCAAGCTTTGGATTGCCGCTGCGTCGCCCCCTCGGGCCACAGTGCCGCCGCCTGTGGTCCACGCCTCCACTGGTTGTTGCAGTGCTGAGAGGTGCCCTCCTAAGCATGGCTACATCACCGGTGGACTTCTCGTCGCTGCATCGACATGGAGCTGCAGCTGTGTTGTCCTCTCGGACCGCAGCTTCGCCGCTTTCGTCGTCTTCATCGCCGTTCACGCATCGACAACCTCGTCGTCCGCACTGGTCATCGTCAGCCGCTCAGGGTCTTCTTCCTCTACTTCGAGCATCGCCGCCGCATCTCCAAGCTGCCACTGTCGCCACTCTAGGCCGGTGGTGCAGCTACCTCTACAAGGCTACCGACGTCGCCGTCCAGGCCGTTGGTCCCGCTACTTCGCCTTCTACTTCGTCCAGCATGACTCATCGCCAGCGTTGCTGTATCTTCCTCGACTACACTTCGCTCTTCTCCGGCAACTGCGTGCTGCTCCGGCAATTCTCCCTCTACGCCGTTCTCGCGCCGCGACCGTCCCGGAGGCCTTCTCTGCTGGTCTTCTCCGACATTGGTGTATGATTCATGGTGGTCCTCTATCTCGCCCGCGCGGTATTGGCAACACCGGCGCGCATGTTCGTCCCGAGTTGTCCCCGGGTCTGGCAAACCTGGTGTGACGTCTTGTCCTTCACGGTTCGACTACATCGGCTCTTCGACGTCATCTTCCTCAACGACCGTCGTGATCGCGTCCCCGTCTTCGTCTCCTGCGTGTCCTCACGCACCTTGGTCCACGACGCCCTCTAGTCCATCCACGACCACTCTACGGCGCCCCATGCGCTCCCTGCGGCTCGGCTACCTCGACATCAGCTTCCCGACTTCGGCTACATCGACCACGGCTATTCTGCGCACGGCTTCATCGACCACGGCTCTCTCGGCTCCTTCGCTTTGGCTACGTCGACCATGGCACAAAGGGCTATCATCCGTGTTGAGCACTCTTGCCGGTTTATTCTCCAGTCCAAGTGTCCGCGCTGCTCACGCTTGGACTGCGGGGGATGTTAGAGTATATGGTAGTTAGAGTCATATTAGGATAGGATTGGTTTGTTTGGATTCCTTCCATATCTGTAATCCTTCCTTATCTCTTCCCCATGTACTCCTATATATATCGGCCCCCTGAGGCTCAATACAATGTATCCAATATTTGCATTATTCCCCTCTTCCTATACTATCCAACACGCTGAAGGGTTCCAGCCGGCTGCGACGGTGGCGGCTTCGGCGGCGAGGACAGTTGTGGAGAGGGCGTGGTGAGAGGGTGCGGCTGCCGCCTCGTCCTCGCCGCTCGCCGGCACCGTCTCTCCATCTCCCCGTCCTCTCACCGCTCGCCTGCGCCGCCTCGTCCTCTCGATGCTTGCCGGTGCCGGCGCTGGCGAGCGTTCTCCCCGCGCGCTCACGTGACGGACTGACGGTGAGGGTAGGGGTGGTGGATGTCGAGTTGGGCCAGCCGGCTTGGCTCGGCTCGGCTTGGCCAGACCTCTGGCTCGTTATCCTAACAAGCTAGCTCGGCTCGGCTCGTTATCCTAACGAGCAAAAAACCCAGCTCGGCTCGGCTCGTTTGAAAGCTCGAGCCAGCTCGTTAGGCTCGTGAGCTTTGGGGGCAGCCGGTGACCACGGAGGCACGGAAGCAGCTCAACCTCGCCGGCACCTTGACAGCTCGCCGGCGACCACGGGGAGGAGCTTGGCGGTGGAGGGGACGAGCTCGAGCTCGCCGGCGAGGCGGCGACCACGGGGAGGAACTTGGCGGCGGAGGGGACGAGCTCGAGCTTGCCGGCGGCGTCAGGCACAAGGGGAGGGGCGGAGAGTGGCGGCGGCGCGTGGGACGAGCTTGAGCTCGCCGACGGCGTCGGGCGTGGGGGTAGGGAGAGGCGGAGAGCGACGGATCGGCGGCGTCGGGCGCTGGGGTTAGGTGGCGGCGTCGGTTGCTAGGGTGGAGGCGCAGAGCGGCGGCGTTGGGCGTGGCCGCGTGGGCCGCGTCGCGTGGCGCCGGCGTGTGGGGGAGACGGGGAGCTCAGCCGCCACCACCAGGGAAAGGGGAAGGGAAGCTAGGGTTTTGGTTTTTGGTCTATTGGGCCTTCTAAATAAATGGGCCTAAGGGGTTTGTGGTCTGGCAGCCTATCTCGTTAAGGCTCGCGAGCTAGCTCGAGCTGGCTCGTTATCTCTAACGAGCTAAACTTCCAGCTCGGTTCGTTAGGAAAATCAAACGAGCCGAGCCGATCCGAGCTTGTCACGAGCCGAGCGAGCATACGAGCCACGAGCTTTCTGTCCACCCCTAGGTGAGGGTGAGGACGTGAGGGATTAGTACGGAAACAATGAAGGAAGTGGCATGGTTCCAAATTTAAAATTTTTCAGTGGAATCTAATCAATAACGTGAATTGTAATGATATTTTTCTAATATGCCATATTTGTAATGACATGAATCAAATTAACCCTACTAGTAACCATACGCGTGTAACACATGTTGTGATCTATGAATCAAAAGGAATATATTGCACGATGAACGCCATATGTATCCGTAGTATGCTCTTTCATATTATCTAGGAAAAAGTACAAATTACCCCCCGAACTATCGCGGTCATCCGAATTACCCCCCACCCCCGAACCACAAAACCAGACATTTTTCACCCCCAACTATGAATACCGGACGAATTACCCCCTCGACCCAATCCGCGGTGGTTTTGGTCTACGTGGCGTACACGTGGTAGTCCAATCAGCATTCTATTTATAAAAAAATTGTGGTACCCACCTGTCACTACTCTCTCCTCTCTTTCTCTCACTCACTCTCTCTCACTCTTCCTCTCTCTCGCGGCACAGTCTCACGGGTCGGCGGCGGCAGCGCGTGACGCGGCGGCGGTGACGGCGGGGGATGAGGAGCTCGGCGCGGCTTCTCCCCTCCATCTCGGTGGCATGCGGGCGGACGGAGCTCGGCGCGGCTTCCCTCTTCCCTCTCGGACGGAGCTCGGAGCAGGATGCGATCCGACTGCCTCGCCATCGTTGCCTTCTCCGGCGCGCCACGCGGAGCAGCAGCTGGCACGAGCGGTGCCGGCCCTCCACGGCGGGAGCTCGTCGCGACGGCTAGCGGAGCTGAATGACTACGCGACAGCGTGGGCGCACGGAGCTACGCGACTACCGACGATGACGCGCCCGAGCCAGTCATCCCCGCCGCCCGCAGCCTCGTCTCCTACTCGGGCCACGCCATTGCCACCTCCTCCTCGGGCCTCCCCCGCGCGGCGGATGAGGAGGATGACGGGCTCCACGCGGACCACGCGAGGAGGTCCCGCCGCATCGTCGGCTACGATGGCGAGTACCACCGCCAGCACCCGGTCCACGGCATCTCAACCCCGCCGCCCGCGCGCCGTGGCCATCTCCTCTCGAGCCCCGCCCACGCCGCGCGCCTCGTCCGTCGCCCCGGCCAACCGCCTTGCCGCCACTGCTGCCTCGCCTCCTCCGTCGCCGCGCTCGCCTCCTCTGCCGCCGCGCTCGCCTCCTCCGCCGCACCCCCGCCGGCACCACCTCACTTCGCCTTGAGCAGCGCGAGCTCCCGCCGCCGCCGCCTCGTCTCGCCTCCTCCGCCGCAGCCTCGCCTCGCCTCCACCGCCGCAGCCTCGCCTCGCCTCGCCTCCTCCGCCGCACCCCGCCGCCGCTCGCCACCTCCTTCGCCGCTGTGCGCGTGTGAGACAGAGAGTGAGAGAAGAGAGAGGAAGGGTGAGAGAGAGAAGAGAGAGAGGAATAGTGGAATAGGAGTATGATAGGTGGGCTTACATATGTAATCTTAAAAACTAAATATCTGTGTCATTACAAATTTATAGTTTTGGGAATTACATCAACTTACATACGTAATTTTGAGAATTACATATGTAATTTTAGGACTTACATATGTAATTTTGGAATTTACATTGTAAATACACTAAAATTACAAATGTAATTTAGGGACTTATAATGTAAATACATGCCGACTATTTTTTGACGAAAAATTTGGCGCCATAAATATAGCTACTCCCTTTTTTATATTAACTTTTAAATCGTTAAAGATATGCATATAAAAATTTTCCTTTTTTATCACTTAGTTTGCTCCGCTTTCTTGTTTGATAAAACTGAAACAGTTTAGTTGAGTTTTAGCTTCAAAAGAGATAAAGCTGAAACTATAGCCCTGCTAAACGTTCCTGTAGATGAATAGCTTTAGCTTTGTGAAATGAAAATTGCATCATTAGGCGGTTAATCAACCCCAATGCACAAGAGAAGAATTAAAAGATATTGCCGGCACGAAAGTAATTTACTAATAATAGTTTATAGACACGGGGAGTCGAAAAAAAAAAGACACGGGTCAACATACAGATATGAGAATTACGAGATCAAATCAATGAGCGCTAATACAGTACAAGAATTGATCAAACGGCATGGATGTTCAGCTTGGCGAGGCGGCGCGCGGCGAGCACGGCGTCCCTGCGCTCCCTGCGCTGGGCGACCTCCAGTTGGTGGGCCGCGTCGCAGGCCGGCGAGCAGAGCACCGAGCGGCGCATGTGTTTGGGCACCTCGCCGCCGCAGTGTACGCACGCGGTCGGTGAGCTCCTCCTCAGCACGGGCAGCAGCAGCAGCACAGCCACCACCTCGCCGTCGTCGCCCTCCTCCTCCTCGACAGCCACGGGGTCGCCCAGGACGCTCTCCATGTAAGGGAACCACGGCTCGTCGCCGGTGCAGCGGACGCAGTGGCGGCCGTCGTGGCTTCGGACGATGCGGAGGACGCAGTCGGCGGCGCAGGTGTGGTGGTGGTGGCAGAGCGCGGTGGAGAAGGCCATGAAGCAGTACATGCAGTAGGCGTCCCTGGGGTGCTCCTCGGCGAAGTCGTTGGCGTTGATGAGACCGATGACGAAGTCGGTGATGGGCAGGTCGGGGCGGCGAGGGTAGTGCGCGGGGATGACGGGCTTGCCGGTGGCGGCGTCGACACCGGCGATGGGGATGACGATGTGGGAGCCGAGCGGGACGAAGTGGTGGTCATCGCAGCAGTGGGAGCAGAAGGCGTGGACGCACCTGACGCAGTAGTGGTCTCGCCGGCACGTCTGCGACAGGTCCTCCAACTGTAGCTTGTGCTTCGCCATGGTGACGACCCCTGGATGGAGAGGCGGAGGCTGCCACTGCCACATCTCGATCTTTTTCGGTTGCACTTGCACTAATTGCTTGCGGATTGCCATAGTTCGACGCACGTACGCTTGTCTTCTGGTGACGGGTGGACAGGTGGTATATATATATGTCCACACGAGACGTACAACCGCGCCGATTCAGATTCCGATTCCGAACTCGATCAGGCCGGCCGGTCGCCTACTCGCCTCCCAATCGGATTCCGATTTCCTTTTCATTTTTTACGTGTCCCCTGCCAGGACGCTTTAGTTGGCCTGCGTTCGTTGTCTGTGTAACGCTCCCGCCGATGCTCACAAAGTCATGTCCCGCGCTCATTAGCGTTGATGTTAATAATAGTGCATATCATTATTTTGTTTATAATATAATAAATAAACTAGCTAGGTAGCCCGTGCAATTGCACGGCTAGCACCCATACAAAATTATCTATTTTTAATATGATTTTACTTAAAATTTGTTAAATAGCTATCTCGTTGTTTTAACACTATGAAAGACCAAACTTTATTATCCTTGTATTTTTAATTTTATAGTTTTTAAAATTTATACCCCTTACATGTTTGTCACGTCTCCTTTATTTGCTTGCGCGATCTACCACTCTTTCTATTCATTCTCCTTGGAACTTTTAAAAAGTAGACCCTGTCGTTTTTAGATTTATTGTCTCGTTGGATTTCATTTTTATGATTTTTAGAAGTTCCGTCAAACGCTGACATGTCCCTGTTCATTAGCGTGAATGTTAAATATAGTGCATATCATTATTTTTTGTAATATAATAAATAAATGATTCGGTTAAAAAGTTTTTGAAAATGAGTTGATAATTTTCCTGTCTCTCTCTATAGCTTGCCCTCCCTCCCCATGCTGTCGGCCGATTAATCCCTCACCACACCGTTGGTTAGGCTTCACCGCCCCGGCCAGTGAAAGAGCAAGTCCTATAACCGTGTGTTAGAAGAAGTTTTGGTAATTAATGACTACCGGTTGTTGGAACTAATCTTTGCTACTCCCTCCATCCAATATAAGAGATTTCTAGTTTTTCTTGCAACGTTTGACTACTCGTCTTATTCATTTTTTTTTGCAAATATAAAAAACGAAAAGGTGTGCTTAAAGTATTGAAATAATAAAGTAAGTCACAAATAAAATAAATAATAATTTTAAAAAATTTTAAATAAGAGGAGTGGTCAAATGCGTGAGCCCCACATATCAGACAATCCACGTCAGCTTTCTCTATTCCCTCTCCTCTCCCTTCCTCGTCTCTCTCTTCTCTCATGGCATGGCGTGCGACGGGCGGGGAGGAGACCGCACCGCTCGCCCACGCTGGCCGAGTCCCGGTAGCGCCGCTCGCCCTTGCCGGCTGAGTCCCAGCGACGCCGCTCGCCCTCGCCGGCTGAGTCCCGGCGGCGCCGCTCGCCCTCGCCGGCCGCGTCCCGGCCGTGCCGCTCGCCCTCGCCGGCGAGCTCAACGATGGCGCTGCCGAGCCACCACCACGGCGACCTGCGGCAGCGAGGGGCAGGCGCAGCTGAGCGGGACGGTGAGGTTGTCGCCGGCAACGAGGCCGATGGCTGGTGCTGCTGATCGACGGGGTGCCGGCGAGCCTCATGCTGGGCCTCGTCAAGAACGACGGCGCCATCAGGCTGAGCGTCATCCGCCTCGTGCTATAGGCGTTGCCACGCACGACGGCATCGCCAACGATGAGCACCAAAATAACAAAAGCACAATGGAATGGAGATAATCGGCACGGCAAAGAAGAGGACATCAATGAGCACGAGCAGGTATCTTTCCTCCCAATCGACAAATTTTTTGGAAGGAGAGAAGAACACAGCCAGTTGCAAAAAAAAAAAAAAATTGTCAATTGCGGTTAAATTAATCACAAGATCGAGTTATTTGTCTTCTCTTTTCTGAAGAAAAGGGAGGAGAAAGCCAAGAAACCAACAACCGTGGGGAAGGAGGAGAAGAAGAAGAGAGCGGCGGCGGCGATCACCTCCTGTCCTCTCGTTGCGAGGGGCTCCTCCAGAAGCCGGCGCTGTAGAAGCTCGCCCACACCTGCTTCTCCATGTCGACGAGGTGTTCGGTCATGGGCGTGGCTGGGAACTCGGCCTCTACCTTCCTAGCCTTGGTGGCCGCGACGGCCAGCGACCTTGGGGAGGCGACGTCCAGGGCGAGGAGCTCGCCCATCTCCTTCCGCTTCGTGGAGCGGACACCGCGGCGGCGCCCACCACAGACGGCGTGGCGGGGACGTGGACGGCCGCGAGGACGACAAGCTCAACGACGGCGAAGGGGAAGCAGCAGCAAACCGCGGCGCACTCCGCCGCCGTCCCGCCCGCCACCTCCCCGCACCGCGACTGCTGCTCCCGCACCCGCCGCCACTCCCGCTCCCTCCTCATCTCCACCGACGAGCTGGACCGCGAGGCGGTCGGAGACCCACGTCTTGAGCTCGCGCTGCCCTGAGCCCGCGCGCCGCCTGGGGGAAGCTCGCGTCGCCTCGGGAGCCACCGTCGCCGGCCGCGCGCGCCGCCGTGGGTGCCCTAGCACCGGCATCCCCATGCCCTGCGAGAGTAGAGAGCAGAGAGGGACGGCGAGGGCGAGCGGCGCGGCCGGGACTCAGCCGACGCGGGCGAGCGGCCTCAGCTTCTTCCCGCCGGCCATCCCCGCCGCCACTGCGGAGACCCCGCACCACCGCTGCAGGCGATGGTGCGCTTCCGCGACGCTGGGTGCACCCTCAGCCTCATGGACCGGCGCCGGTGAGGGCGAGCGGCGCGGCCGGGACTTGGCCGGCGTGGTCTGTCTGACATGTGGGGCCCATGTGGGTCCCGCTGACTCAGCGTCCACGTCGGACAAAACCGGGGTTAAAACCACTGAGTGAATGGTTTGTAAGTTGAGGATGCCACGTATCTGGTTTTGTAATTAGGGGACGATTTTGTATCTCGATGACAAGTTGAGGGACCTTCGGTGTACTTTTTCCTTATATATCACAGCCCAAAGAAGAGGGAGGTAAAATAGACTTTTTTTAGCTATATATGTCACAGCCCAATAGGAGGGAGAAAAATTAGACTTATGCTGAGGTAAAGCGCGATGGGCCGTAGTGCCTTGGGGCCGGCCCAGCACGGCCCGAGGCGTGTTGGGCCGTGCCTGGGCCGTGAGTGCGGCACGTGGGCTGGCACGGCACGGCCCGGTGCGTCCGTCGGGCCGTGCCGACCCGACAAGCCTCGGCCCAGGCACGGCCGGGCGGCCCATATGGCCATGTATACTGACTGACAAGCGCCCATCTTCCTTGTCTCCGCTTCGTCTTCGTCTCAGACGAACTCGCCTCCCGACGCGCGCCCTTCGTCTCCCCTTTCTTGGCTCTCCTCTTCTTCCTCCTCCGCACCGGCGCCTCGAGTTCGCCTCCCGACGCGCGCCTGTTTCGATCTCTCCTGCGTTCTTTCAGGATGGGGGTACCCGTGGCCCAGCTCGGCAAGAGCAGCGGCGCCGGCGACGCGGCGACCGGTGGCGGTGGCGAGGTGGCGGATTTCTTGTTGGCCGACAGCTCCCCGAGGTAAGAAGAGAACTGAATTCCATGGTTTCATTAAGAAATCGATTCTTGCCAGATTTCTTGACCAAAAGAATGGTTCTTGATTGGAAATGGTTTTTTGCAGACGTTCCTCATCCGCGGCCAAGGAGACCGGATTGGATGGCACGGAGGGCACGCATGACGGCGGCGCTGCAGGCGACCACGGCGAGGCGGGCGAGGCCGGCGCGGCGGCGGCGCGCGGTCATGGCGGCGGTGGCGAGGTGGGCCCGGATGGTGATGGCGCGGATGGCGTTCAGGAGGAGGCGCTCGTGGCGAGGTGCGTCGTCTGTCGTCGGCGGCAGGTGGCCGATGAGGGTGAGGGAGGCGTCTGCTCAGTATGCCTGAGGAGGAGGATGCTATCATCGGTGGTCTGCGTCGACGACATGAGCGCCGTCGCCGACGCGACCGCAGGAGTGGGCATGCTCTACTACTGCCCGTCCTGCGACGCGTTCGGCCGTGGCGGCGTCCACGATCACGAGGTGCTCGTCCTCGGCATGTTCCGAGGTGACTGGTGCGCATGGTTGACAGGGGCCGAGAGGATGGCGCCCATCTTCCTAGGAATCGAGGTAATTGAAATGCTTGACTTGTTGCTTCTTCTTGTGCAGTTGTGCTTGTGCTTGTGGAGGAATTGAAAATTTTGCTCATGTGTTGTTTGCAATGCCAATGGTGATGGGTGCAGAGTGACCGGCTCCCGTCTCCGTTTCTTGGCCGGCCGTACTTGCTTCAGCCATCACCGGGCACCCGCTGCAGGGTCTGCTCCGACATTGCCTCGCTCGATGGTCTCTACAGCAGGCTGGCCACGCTCTGTACGATATCTTGCTGGGCGCATGCTGACCACGCTGCTGCTGCGGCGGCGCACCCGTGGGTTCTGTCTCTCTTGGAAGTTGGCTGCTCAGCTCAGCCTGAGCAGCTGCTGGACCTATTCTGCACCACGTGTCGCGAGGCCTTTCTCTATGGGGACTGCCACTGCGACGACCACCATCACCATCTGCTCCCACTCGTGTTCCACTCAAGGATGGGTCTGTGCGTGCAGATTTCGCGTGGTCATTGGCTATGGTCCGTCTGGGAGAGCATCGCCGACGCCGAACTCGCCGCGGACATTCTCCACAGCAGCGCCACCAGCACGAGATTGATCCCCATCCGTGGCAGGACGGCCCAGCGGTGCAGATGGTGCCAGAAGCGCCTTCTCGACGGAGGCGGGACCACCTGCTCGCTCCGCTGTCGTCTTTCCCTGCCCACTTTGCTCCCCAGGGCACTCAGAGTACCTGCCTAGCCAGCTACGGTATGGCATGGCCGCTGCCCCCTCTTCCCTGCCTTTCTTTTCGCAAACTGATTGATGCATCAGAGATTCAGAGGAGTGTGTATTTTGGCCTTGCAATGTGTGCATCAACATTTGACAGTGAACAAAGCCCACTGATTCTGCCTCGTATGAATTCCTTTTGCTGTGTATATTTTGTAATGTTTTTTTGCCCATAGGCACAGCTCTGCATGCTTAAGCATGATTTTTTCGGTCTGTTTCACCTTGCAGCTCACTTTACTGTTCTCTCAGTCTGAACTTCTGCTCTAGTAGCATACTGTCGGTCTGTCACTATATGTATATACATATATATATATATATATATGTGTATATATGTATATACATATATATATATGTGTATATATGTATATACATATATATACACACATATATATATATGTATATACATATATACATATATGTGTATATACATATATATGTATATACATATATATATATATATGTATATATATATATGTATATATGTATATATAGTGTGTGTGTTTAGTTCACATCAAAATTGGAAGTTTGGTTGAAATTTAAACGATGTGACGGAAAAGTTGGAAGTTTGTGTGTAGGAAAGTTTTGATATGATGAAAAAATTGAAAAATTGAAGAAAAAATTTGGAACTAAACAAGGCCATATATATTTTCTGCTTTGATGAGTACTCTCCCACTCCCAAAATATAAATATTTTTAGACTCTGCCATGGCTTTAGAGATTCTGTTTTAACTAAAAATATCTATAAAAAGATATTTTAAATAAAAAGAGTTATATATTATGATAGTCTGTTTAATGATAAATATAGTAACATGTATGATCTTGTTTATTTTTATGTTATTAATAGTTAAAGTTAAAAATATTTGACTTGTCATTATACTAAAAATACTTAGATTTTGGAATGGAGAGAGTATTAGCCGGCAAACTATTCTGATCGGTTAAGGGGACGTTCCCCTACATGCATCACCGCCCGTTTCTCTTTGAGATTTGTGCTCCTGGTCCCACACACCAGGCGTATTCCTTCGTATATCGCTGTTTCACACATTTTCTACCCCCGTGTACCAAACATATATGTCAAGTCAACCGGGCCCATAAATGTACCGTTCTGTACTTTTGAATGAATTTCTCTCTCTCGTCTTTACTCCTCTGCACCCTAGCAGCCTGAATATCTTGACTATTCTCCACCCTAGCATCCTGCACTCTGTTGGTAGAGCAGCCATGGCGATGCACAGTGCATCTTCCTCCATCCACCCAACAATCCACCCAGTTCTATTCTACATTCTTGCAGGTCCATACATTCTTCTATGGCTTATCCCCGCCCCAGCTCAAGTGTGCGTGTGAGGACCCAATACGAACCTTCGCATCCCATACAGCTCGGAATCCCAATAGGCGTTTTCTCAAATGCGCAAAGAAGGTAAGTTCAGACATTTCGAAGTATCATTGCAAGGTTTGGATTTGGGAGGACATCCTTTTTCAGTATGTCGATGATATGGTTGCATACTGAATCAATGGCGCCAGACAATCCGGCGAAGAAATCATTAGTACTTTGAAGTATGAGTTGGAAGAGAAGAGAAACCAGGTTCATCGTCTTCAAGACGACATTGAGAAGTGCCATGTTCTGATTGAGGACAATGCTGCTAAGTTGAAGGACAACGAACAGAATCGAGTGGAGCTGCAAGAACAAACTGACAGATGCCAAAGCTCTGTTAGGTTCTGGAAATATCTGTTTTGGTTAATCCTGTTAGGATTAGTCGCCAGCAACTATATTGCCCCAAAAATGATTTGACTTTTCTATGTCATTAGCTTGTGACATCTAGTTAAGCAAGTAGGTTTCCATTACTGTATCCAGGAAGTATTTTGTAACAAATTACTTATATGTACTGTTACCTATTTCTCCACTAATCGTTGCAATTAGTTAGCATGTGTACTGTAGAATTGGAAACCTTTTCATTCAGCCATGAACATCTTGGATGCTTGATTTATGTTTAAGTTTGTTTCTTCTTGATCCAGTTGGGACACCAACTGGTTAACATCCCACTGTATCTCTGGGTTAACATTTTAGGATAAAACCAATTTCTGTGAACTCACTAATTTATGAACTTTAATATTATGGAATAAAAACTTGCACCCGCAGTACAAATTATACCTCCAAAATTCATCTAAGTTAAATCACACATAAAGCAAGCACAGACTTATAAAATACATGGAAAATTCACTTCAACTTATTTTGGGGTAAACTCAAATTCCACAGAATCATAAACTTATGCTCTCCTGTAAAATAAAATAAAAAGGTATACTTGCTTTGCATCAAATGCCTCAAACTATTATCTTTAAAATGACTAGTTTTAGATAAGCTGAACTTTAAAAGTTTATATAAAATTCATCTTAGATCCTTTTTGAGTAAACTCAAGTTCTGTAGAATCATAGAGTTGTGCACTTCAATGTTATAAAATAAAAATACATACTTACAGTATAATAAAAACCCCTAAACATTTGTGTAAGGAATAAGCAACATAGAGCATACCTTAATTTGTAAAATTTGTAGAAAATTCATCTTTAGTCCAAATGGGGTGAACTAAGTTTCTATAGAATCAGCAAATAGTGGGCTTCAACATACTAAAATAAAATATAAACATACTAAAATAAAATATAGCACCTTCTGTACAGGTTATAGCTCTAAACTTTAAATTTATATGATAGGTGCTAATCATATGGTATTGATTAAGCAATACATATACATATAAATGTATATAGAAATACACTCTAGCTATAATGAAACCCAAATAAAACTTGTTAGACCAGTGAAGGCATAGATCCATCCCCTTCCACCAAAACTTAGTACACTTTACTCATATAATAATTCCTAGGATGATATTTACAAAGTCATTCTCATAGGACACCTCTAAGTTATTGTCAAAACAAGATTTCGGCAATACAAAACGGGGTGGCTATCAAGCAAGAAAAGTGGATGGGTTTGGAGACAAGGAATTTTATACAGGTTCAGGCCCTTTCAATGAGAAGTAATACCCTACTCCTATCCGGGGATTGATCCGCCGAGTGTGTTATGCCCCAAGAGACACCCGGACGCCTCCTTATATAGTGAGAGGAGCCCGTATTACAACATACAGCCCATATTCCTAACGGAATAGGCAAGTAAAGATATAATACAATCGTAACCGACTAGGATCCCGGGTATTTCCTTAATACACAAGTTAGGAATTTAACCCGAGCCCTTTAAAGATATTCTATCTACATATGGTACCCCTATACCCAGTCGGATATACATGCCATGTGGGTATGGGGTGTCCATAATCTCCACAGTAGCCCCTGAGACCTTTACAGTCGACGAAATAATCTTCTCTTGGAATCTTCAAGATGATAATCCGAGTGCTTCAACTATTCCTGCCTTGGTCTACCTAGTACTTGAATCAAAGACTGTGAAGGGCTAAAATAAAAAAAAAAATCGGGTGCATCGATTAGATGCACCTAATTAGGTGTAGCCCCCGACTATGTGATTAGTTGTATATTAAACATCCATCCGAGTGAATTTATAACTGAATTACCAAAGCAATGATATAGCTAAGCATATGAGGCACTTGATAAACATTCAGCCGACTGCTTTAGCTTGAGTATGCTCAAAAGGCATAGGTAGATCCGAGTGAAAACACTCTAAAGATCTGTTAATCAACATATATGATTAAAAATCCGAGTAAAACTCTTAAAGGATTTATCAAATGTTGTATAAAAAATGATAAATGGCAAGTATAAATAGCCTAAGCTACGACCCACGCCATTATCAAATGAAGCATATAACATGCCGAGAGAATGACCATTAGTCACCTTAATAAAACCCAAACAACTTTGTAGCCTAAAAAGGCCAACAAAATTAGTATAACACTTTTCTGTTGGGCACCTTTTTATTTGCATCGTAGTAATTCCCAAGAATTATCTAACTGCGTCAAAAAGGATTTTAACGGCACTAGGCTATTCTGTCGTGAGCAATTTTTACCAAAGAAAAAATATACGCCAAAATCCCTAAGGATCACAACTAGCCACGCCGATAATAAAAATGGGCTGAAAATACTAAGAAGGCCCAGGCCCATTAGCATCTTCCGATACCCCAGCGAAAAAACCGCTGAACAAAACGCCGCTTCGTCTTCCCCGCCGAGATCTCCTCCACTCTCCCTATCCTTCGCTATAGTGTAGCAACCACGCCGGCGAAAATTAGGGCTAGCAAATCCACATCAATCCACCTCTCCCGAAGCTTCGTGGGCTTGCGAAAATCATCTGCGCAATTGCCGCTTCAATTTTCCTTTCATTCGCTGCCGCCCTTGCTCCATATCCCATCACCCATCTCGCATCCATGGCGGAGGAGAGAGAAAGCTTTGAGAGTCAATGGGCACCCACCGATGTAACAGAGAACTTGAAGGAAATGGTGGAGCACGGTGTTCTTCCGGCGAAGGAAATCATCGGCTGGCGTCCGGCGTGTGGCGAAGCATTCCCGACCTCGGACATGCATGAGGTCGTGGTATTCTCCCATTTCTTCTATGGTGGTTTTTCTCTCCCAACTTCGAAATTATTCAGGGGGATTCTTGAATTCTACGGGATTAGTTTGCACCATCTCAACCCCAACTCCATTGTTCATATTGCAAACTTCATTCATGCTTGTGAAGCCTTTCTAGGGATTAGGCCGCACTTTGCCCTATTCCGTTGCATCTTCTTCCTGAAGCCCCAACCAAACAAGAGCAAGCAGTGTGTTGTTGGGGGAGCCGGTTTTCAACTGAGGGGCACTTTGAGCCAGAAATATTTTTCCATGCCTTTCAAAACATCCAATAAGGGTTGGCATGCAAATTGGTTTTATATGCAAAATCCTAAGCCAGCGCTTCCCGAGTACTCTTGTCTTCCTCCAACATATCAAGATACATGGAACTCGCTTCCAATAGAAGATGAAGCTGCTCAAGCCCTCACTCTGCTAAATCGCATGCTGAAGCTCAAGGAACAAGGTCTGCATGGGGAGCAAATCACTCGGCACTTTATCAAGAGCTGGCTGGCGCCTATTAAGGAAAGATCCCGTACTGCCTTTGAGTTTGATGGCAAGAGTGATCCCAAACGCGAAGATCCAGAGTCTCTTGAATTTAAGATTATGAAAGACA